CAGCATGGGTTTGCAAGAACGGACAGAGCTGTGTTCCATACAGCTGGATCCAGCACTTACAGCCTGAACAATGAGCAAGCATCGGTGCTGCACTTGCTTTAGGAAGTTTGCAAGGTGCTATCTCCTTGCAGTGACACCTCACCAACAAAAACTGTGCACTGGCTGGGTCCCATTCTGCTCATGTACAGTCATCACTGCAGACTGCCGTCAGGTTTGAAGCAGAACTCTTCCTCAACAGGCTTCACTCCACAGGCTTTGAAACTGGTGTTGCAATACAGGGCCCTGGCAATAGAATTTTACTGCAATAAAATACTGACAAAGGTCTATATTGGGGTAAGCAATTTAAGCTTATTTGTACTATTTAGACTCTTAATTTGTTTAAAACTGAAAAGACTTTTGGTGATCTCACATTCCTGTTGATTCTGTTTGTTTACTCTCTGCTCAGCACAGATACTAGGGGCAGTATGCTTCGTGTTCTAATTTCTTTTGGGTTTCCAGAACCACAGGGCTTGGAAGGGATGAGGAGGAAAGGCTTGTGACACTAATCCAGAAGCACCACGAAAGCGTTTCTGATCTCCCTAGGGTTACAGCAGTTGTGTTAACCTGCAGTCTTTGGCTGATAAATAACTGTTAAAGCATTGCTTTCGTACTTGAACACTGCAGCAGGGCACGAGGTTTGTTTCTTTTGGCTGTTTTCCAGCTCCCATTCTGAAGTCATCAGTAGTGGTTAATAGCTGTCAGAAGAAGACTTAAATGCCTCTGCATAAGGGAGTTGCCTGGCACCATGCAATACTTAGCAAAGCTTCTGCTGTTGAGCAGTTGGCCCGCCAACACCAGCGGTTTAGTTTAGTTCATGTGAGCTGTGACAGGCTGCCTGAGAGACACCAGCATGGTACGACCTGGGGTGCTGGCACCGGCTCATTGCCTGTTAAGTCTTTATGTACCTGGGGAGGTGAGAAGAGAGTGCCCTGGGGGGCACAGCTCTGAGGGACTGGCCACGGTTAACAAGTTGTATCGACAGAAGTGACTGAAATCTGCAACCCTTTTTCTGCACAGAGGGGCTGTTGCACACATAACTGTTTGCCTGCAGTGAGTATATTTGAGCAGTTCAAATTGCAAGCTCTGAAAACAGATGCCTGTTTGGGTCTCTGTAAGCCACCAGTGGATTAAATCCAGCTCACAAAGTTGTGCTTCAGCCAGGCAACTGCGAATGCAGCTTCCACCCATCTTCTAGCTGGCAGCTATTAGACATCAATACTACACTTCACACGTGGGAATCCTCACAGCCTTGCCTTTTTTCTAGGCTATACAGAGATGACTTAAGCTGCCAGTGACTGTCAAGGGCTACCCTCTGCTCCCCAGCAAACAGAGCCCATCACTGGGGTTGGATAGGTGATGATACAGGGCTCTAGGCTTCTCATTCTCAGCTCCTGGAGGCTGCAGAGGTACAGGAAACTCTTGAACCTGTGAGTTTATTACCTGGCTGACAATTTACTCTTTTGAACCCTGAATTATTCCAGCTGTGATCTTGAGCAAACCAACAATTAATTTTCTATCAGGAGAAAGATATTACAGGTTCTAGATTACAAAACATCCCCCTAATTGGACGTTGTATTGTAATTGTAAAATTGGCTGTAATACAGCTGTTTTGGCTCTGTCACTGTGAGCTGACGGGCTCACTGAAGTCCGGTGGCGTCTGATCAAATGTCATCAATTCTTTGGTGATCAATTCTTATTCAGATGAGAGAGAGTCAGTAATCAATAACTCTTCCAGGGTATGTTTCACAGCCATGCCACCTATTTACCACTGGCTTTGGGTGAAGTTGCATCAGACTGGGACTTGGAAGGCAGTTGAAGAGTGACCTAGTATGGATTCATTCTTATGTGTTGGTGACGCTTGGGATGTAACAGCCACTGCCTGTGGGGCACTGGCAGGTACACTCAGGGAAGCAGCTGGCAGTTCATGCCATGTGCAGAGTTGTTGGTTGTAGGTATGGGATGAGCAATCCTGTGAAGTGGGTATTTAACCTGATTTTGGTGAACTATTTTGTAGAGACAAACAGGCTTTCACGGGAATAACAAGCACACAGATACTCTCATATGTGCATTGTAGGAGCCTACCTCTGGAATCAGGGCTTTTTATTATGAAATTTAGCTGTGTTACAACAGTAGTGGTTTTTTAATATCTAAGTGTTTTAAAGGCTGACCCAGTGGAAAGCTCTGAGGTACATAGCACAAGGCACTTGGCTGTTTCATTCCTTAGCATTGCTAAAAAGCTGTAGAAACTAGAAATCATGTTGTAACTGGTGTATCTAGCACACAGAATCACAGAACCAGCTGGGTTGGAAAAGACCTTTAACACATCAAGTCCAACCACTACCCCAGGACTGCCAAGACCACTTGGCTTATTAGAGGAAGACTGGAAGGAAGAAGGGGGAGAGTTACGCTATACTCCATGTTTTTTGGCTCAATAAACATTGAAGTTGTACTTAGATTCAAGATCAGATTAGAGTCCCACTTCTGTCAGCAGTAAGCCAAAGGCTGTAGTTGTTCAAAGATTAGAATGTGGGTGTATTGCTGGGTCTATTGTAGGCAGAGCTGCACATAAGGATAACCCTTCTTGCAAACTCTTGTTTTATGCTGCACTCTCACTGTTTCTGGCAGGCTCACTGGTTAATGAGAGCAGCTTTATTTCCATGTTGACTTTGTTTTAGATGGAACATAAAAGGTGTCTCTCAAAATTGTTTTTCACTTTATTGAGTTCAAACCAATCCCAGAATGTTTAACAAGGGCTGAAGTACCGTGACTGGGGTCTGTTTGACGTCAGACCTGGCTCTCTATTTCACGTACCAAGTGATGTGATTACTTAGTCTCTGTGGTGCTCCAGAATCATCAAACCCTCCCAGTCTTTGGAATGATGGTGTGATTCTGTACAATCTTGAAGACAGTGGCTGAAGAATGAGGAACACCTGGTTGGGAAGGAGAAGAGCATTGAAGGGCAATAGCAATAAGGAATAAGTGCTGCAATACTCAGTGGAGGTGGCGAGTTCTGTAGTTTATTGAGCAGAGTCTTAGTTCATGGGGTTGAAGAAGTTACAAGCTCCCAAATGGCATTACAACTTGTGCTGTGTCCTTTTGCTTTAATGTCAGAGCTGTTTACCCAGATCTCCTCTGCGGAAACTAAATCAGCAATACTATGAAATAGGAATACCTTAACTGAGATGGCAATAGCAGTGGTCTGCAGTGAGCCATAGATGAACTGGTGTCCATCTGCTGCGAGGGGTTCTCCCTGCGTCTGGATATTTCTGTGCCTTATCATACTTGCTGAAGGTGACTCGGTAACTGAAGTCACCGAGGTTTGGGTTGGTTTGTGGTGCCTGTACAGAAGAATGTTTTGCAAGGGAACAGTTCAGAGCATACCAGATTTTGAAGTTTTCATTTGCTTTTTCAGTTTCTTTCATTATAACCTCCTCTCTCTTCCTAAATATACAGAAATGAACTGCACAGGGTCTTCATTCTAATTCACCAAATCACATTGACCTACTTTGTTATAGCAGTTCTCTGCAGGCAGAATCCAGAATACGCTTGTAGCAGCAGTCTCGCCTCTTACTACAGAGCACAGCTAATATGTACATTGTTTGTTTTGTTTTGCCTGTGGCTGTACCACAGAACTTGTGGTCCCTGGTTGTTCTTCAGCTTTATTCTGCTGTACTCATGTTGGCCAAACTGGCAACAGACATCCCAGCTCCAGTACTGCTGGATTCTCCAGGCAACCCTTGCAGCACAGTTATGACCTGGAATATTCTGCTGTATTTCAACTGCTGAAGCAGTTTGAATGGTTGAGGAGACTCCGCTCAAGATACCTGTTCCCAGCCCTACATCAATGCAATTATCTCCACCCACAGCCAGGACACAGATACGGGTTTTTAACTGGTGCAGATGCAGCCTCAGCGCTGTCAGCTCTGTGCCTTCAGCTGTGAGACTGCTGCGTGCGAGCGGGCTGCGGGAGTGTCGGTGGCCCTGGTGCTGCTGCATGTCTGGGGTAGCCACAGATGACAGCGAGCCCTCTGCAATAACGCGTGATTCCCGTGATCAGTAGTAAATGATGTACCAATAAAACTTGATGACATGTATTTTATGTGAAAAAAAATATGTAAGAAGTGTACATGATATTAGCAGCTTTGTGTATAAAATGGCATTTTGGCAATCAGAGTCTAATATATTTAAAACTTTTTTTTGTAAAAAGGATATTTGATATTGTATGGAATTGACACTATTGCTACTGTATGAAGATGGATTCTTAACATGTTGAAGCAATGCATAAAATCTTAAACTTGATGTAAAACTCATGCCAAAAGGGTATATCTGACAGTATTAGCACCTGACTCCATGTCTTTAATAGATTGATTTTTTTAATTTAAAAATTATATTAAATTTGTTTTAATAATACAAGAACACCACCGAGTTTTATTTCATGGGTTTACATTTGGGGACTCTGCTTAAAGGTCTGTGCCGCCCCCTCAGCTCCGGGAGTTCTCTGGAAGAATACACCCAGGCAGGGGGTAGGTAGAACTTTCAGTTTCCAGGCGGTAGCAGCAGCCTGCGATGGGGACGAGCAGCAATGATGGCACCGGGGCTGCCTGTCCCGGGTCTCATCCTCTCCGGGACATCAGGCGCTCCTCAGCGCGCTCCTAAGGGGGGTCCTTAGCGGGGGGTGGGCTCGGGCGGAGGCGGAGGGCCCGCAGCACGTGGTGGGGGAAGGGACCCGGGCACTGACGGGGCTGCGCGGCCCGGCGGCTGCGGGAGCGACCCCGCCGGCACCACCGCTGCTTCCCGCGGCCGCAGCGAGGGGGCCCGAGGGGCGGGGCCGGCTCTTCCGCAGCCAACCGGGGCGCGGGGCGGGGCGCGGAGCCCCCACTGAGAGCGGCGGCGCGCGCTGTTTGGATTCAAACCCGCTATAAAGCGGCGGCCGGGCCCGAGGGGAGCCGGTCGGCGCCCGCGCGATGGCGAACCCGTCGCAGTGGCTGGAGGAAGGCGCCGGGCGGTGGCCGCCGCGGCCGCCCGGGCCGTACAGCGAGGCGCAGCGGCTGGCGCTGGAGGAGCTGGTGGCGGGCGGCCCCGAGGCGCTGCGCGCCTTCCTGCGGCGGGAGCAGCTGCCGCCGTTCCTCTCGGAGCCCGAGGTGCAGGCGATCGCGCGGGGCGCGCTGCCGCCCGCCGCGGCCCCGGAGCCGGCGGCCGAGCCCTTCGCCGGCGCCTCCCTCGACGCCTCGTCGCTCACCTACTTCCCCGAGCGCTCGGACCTGGAGCCGCCGGCGCTGGAGCTGGGCTGGCCGGGCTTCGCCAGCGGCGCCTTCCGCGGGCTCACGCGGGTCGAGGCGCACTTCCAGCCCGGCTGCGGGGACAGCATCTACGGCTGCAAGGAGGCGGTGCGGCGCCAGATCCGCTCCGCGCGGCAGGTCAGTGCGGCCGCGGCCGGGCGGTTGCGGGCTCGGCTGCGCCTGGGGCCCTGCTGCAGCGGGGCTGCGACCCGGGACGAGGATCGGCGACGGCATCGACGGGCGTCCCCTTCGGGTGGCGCTCAGCGGGGCCGAGCGGCTTTAAAACCGCCGTCGGGCAAAGAACGCCTCGTTGGAGCAGCTCTGCTCTGGAGCCAGGCTGAGAGAGCTGGGCTGGGGCAGCCTGGAGAAGAGAAGGCTCCTGAAGGGGAGGCCTTAGAGCAGCTCCAGTGCCTAAAGGGGCTGCAGGAAACCTGGAGAGGGGCTGGGGACAAGGACCTGTAGGGACAGGCCAAGGGGAATGGCTTGAACCTGCCCGAGGGGAGACTGAGCTGAGCTCTTAGGCAGAAGCTCTTCCCTGTGAGGGTGCTGAGGCGCTGGCACAGGGTGCCCAGAGAAGCTGTGGCTGCCCCATCCCTGGCAGTGTTCAAGGCCAGGTTGGACACAGGGGCTTGGAGCAAGCTGCTCCAGTGGAAGGGGTCCCTGCCCGTGGCAGGGGTTGGAGCTGGGTGAGCTTTAAGGTCCCTTCCAGCACAAACTAGTCTGGGATTCTATGATGTGATTCTGTGACAATCTCACAAATACACGACTGATGCTTATTCCTCCATGTTTGTGGATGTGCTACACCCATGATATCTTGCCTGTCGTCCTTATTGTCACTCCAGAAGGAGTTCCCGGTCCCCAGTACGACCTGTTGATCCCTTGCTGCTGTTCACGGTCAAACCACCCACTGCTTACATGCTTACTTTGCTCTTGTTCCAAGTGGAAGGTTGCCTTTTCTGTGTTCCTTACCAATGTACTTTGCAAAATGGGTTTGCATGCAGAAACCCGCTGTTATAAAAGGGTATGACACAAAAAAAAGGCCTTTCTTGAAAAACTTTATTTACTAAGAAATAATCATCTGATTATATTTTCTTTCTTCTTTCTTTCTTCATCTCATTGGCTGTTTTTAAGTAATGTGCAGAGCTGCTCTTATCAGGGTTTCCCTCCTACAGGACTGAATTGTTTTGATCTGGTGCAGAGTAAGGCTTGGAGGTCATGCAGCGTACTGACTTCTAACTGTTCTCTGTAACTCATAATGTTACCTGAGTTTATAGCCTCCAACTGTAATCCGCGGGAGGGAACCACCCTTCTGGTGAGCAGCCACTCAATGGGCTTAGCTAGAATTTAAATGTACAGCTTCCTCTTCAGCGGCCGGGTGAAGCAAGCCCTGGCTCTGCATAACGTGTGCGCACATGGCACACCCTGAACGGCAACGGAGCTCAGTCCTAGCCCCCTTCAGAGCGCAGGAGCTTAGGGTGTGTATGAGGATGACATGAACGATGGGCTTCTCGCCAGAAACGGTCACAGAGGGAGGGCTGTTCTCAGGGATCTCATCAGGTGGATGAGACTGGTCTGGTGACTCAGGAAACTCCATGGAAATACCTGTTTATCCAAAAAGCTGTTCTTGCGTGTAGTATCCTGCCAAATGGCTTCCCTTGCTCCAAACCAAACCCCAGGGAAACTGTTCCTGCCGCTGCCGTGTATGTGCCTGATACATGAAGGCTTTTTGTAGACACGGAATGGAGAGAAATTTTGGCTGTCAGCCTCAGAGTGATAGTGCTCAATCATGTCTGAATACTTTGGGTGAACTTGAGAAATTGGAAGGCTTCGGATGCTGTACATTTTCTTCTCAGCTCACTCAAATGCGGTTAGTTTAAGTGATTAAAGGGGACCCTGTTGCTATCTTGCCTCCGCAGTCCTGAATGGATGAGTGTAGAGAAAAGGATTTTCTCTCCCTCTTCTAAACATAACTGTACTTTTGCACATTTTGAGTAAAAGTGTATTTCTTTTCAGCTGCTGATTCTAGGATTAGAGCCCAAGTATACCATTAATTGAACAGTCATTTGAAGGCATTAGTGCTTCCAGGATGTTTAGTGTGAATTTTCTGTGTTCAGGGGTTATTTTCTTACTCACTTTTCTTGTGAAAACCATCTTATTTTTCTTTATCGTCCTTGGTACTTAAACAAGTGATTGGGTGGAGAAAGCCACAGGAGAGATGTAAGAAGCACAAGCATAAACTAATACCAATGTGACTGTGTATGTTATGCCCAGGAGCTCATCCATATGGAGCCTATCCCTTAGGGAGCACGATGCAGGTGGGAATGCAAAGCTTAGCCAGTTCTTGTGGGAAATACAGGCAATGCCACCCACAGAGCAGCTGCGCTGTGAGCAGGCACACCTTGTGCAGGTGCCTTATGGATCTGACAAGGGCAGGCGCTGGGTACCAGCAGTGATTGTATCATCATGGTTCCTGATGCTGCTCTGATAGAAAGAGAATAGGAAAGACATGAAATCAGATCTTTGGGTCCCCACAGCGATGTGTGCTCCTGATTTTGAAGGGTGAGAATTCTTGCACTGAAATGATGTGCGATCTGGCTCTGAATTTTCTAGAGAAGGGGGTTCATAAACACAGGACTGTCATCTTGTCTTTGGCCTGCTGAAAGAACACCTCCCCATCTTAGGACTTGCCTCCTGTAGAGAAAGGTTGAGTGAGTGGGAGGATTTCTTGTGAAGGTGTGCTATGGAAACTTGGAGCACACCAAGTAAGAGTCTGGAAACTGTTCAGTTTGTATGTTGTCACAGAACTAGCTTATGTCTTGGTAGCTTATTTAGGGACAGCATTCCCTTCTTACCAAATAGAGGAATCAGTCGGGGGTTGTGAGATGCTCAGTGGCGACAGTGAGGAGGTCACCCGAGCTCATTCTCCTGCAGGCAGTGGCTCCCTGTAGCAGGTATGGCACCCTGGGAGAACAGGAGGTGGAGGTGGCTGGTCTGGAATTTGGTTCTGCTGTGATGGCTTCCACAGTGTTACCGAAAGGCCATATTAGAGGAGATTATGTATGCAAGCAGGATTTGAAAGTGTACAAAAGCCGCAGCAGAGGTGAGGAAAAACCTCTTTAGGCTTACTCTTTGCTATCCAGGGCACAAGGAATTTGCAGAAACATTGTGGGAATATAGAAATCTTTAATAAGTTGCCAGGGCCTGCACAGCAGGACAAAGAAATGTGCATCTGGCCTCAATGGTAGGAGCAGAAGATGGCTGGGAAGGCAGTGATCTGGCCTTGTGTAAAGTAAAGCCCTGGAACAAATGCTGTCACTTCTCTTGCAGGTAATTGCCCTTGTGATGGATGCCTTCACAGATACCGACATCTTCACTGACCTTCAGGATGCCTTTAACAACCGCAAAGTCCCTGTCTACATTCTTCTTGACCAGGACTCTCTACCCCATTTCTTGGAAATGTGCGACAATCTGGGGGTCTGTCCTGAGCAGGAAAGTGTAAGTACTGACTGTGGGTGCCTGCGAGTGCTTTGGCTTTATTTTTTGTGCTGCAGTTTATGGTTATGGGTGTCCAAGTTACGCTTCTGTAAACCAGCAGACTCCCTTGGAAGATTACAGCGTCCTGTCTGTTTGGTAACTGATGTGGAAGGGGATTTTCTGGCATGTTTCTCAACTTCTGAAGATCAAGGCTCGATATCTCATGGTTTCAGTCTCTAACACAACATGTGAAACTGCTCACAAACTTGGCAAAAGCCATGCAGAAAAGGCACATGTCCTGCACTATGCTTCCTGTGTGCAGGAGCTGCAGGTTACCCTGTGCTGGGTTGGGTGGGCACTGTGATCCGCATCCTGAGGAAGCAATTAGTTTTTCAAGATGTAAGTAGCTTTGTTCTTTGGCTCAAGGAACCTCTTGCTGAAGAAGTGGAAACACGGCTCAAGGGTGGTATAGCTCTGGTAACATCTCATTTCTTTCCTAATACACAGTTACTTTCTTTTGAAAGGGTTTAGATTATGTCACCCAGGTGATCTATTAATTCAGAGGAATATAGGCTGACATAACTGCTACAGCATGGCTTGGTATGGCTTATGTTCACTTCAGTGAGAGCTTCTCTGGATGGGGAACACTTCTAGCCTCCTGGGCACTAACAAATCAGAACTGGATGTTCTCTCCAAAGACTCTCCTAATCTAACAGAAATTTAACTATTAACACGTGCAGACAGTGTGAGGAAGCTCATTTTGTTCCTGCCTTCCCTAGCGTGCATGGCTGCTTTCAGGTGGAATTGCTAACCAAAACTTTTTGAAAGTTACTTAGATCTGATATTACATTTTCCCTTTTCTGAAACAGCTGCTGAGAGTTCGAGCCCTCACAGGGAGCACGTACTACCTGAGATCAGGTGCTAAAATTGTTGGGAAAGCCCACGAGAAGTTCATGTTAATTGATGGCATTAGAGTGACAACAGGCTCCTACAGGCAAGTATTGGGGTCTGATGGTGCTAGTGAAGCTACAGAAAGGGGGGAGTTCTGCAAGAACGATGTATGACCTTTGCTGTTTGCCTGGTATTAATGGAAGCCAATGGCAAGTGGACTGGCTGAGCCTAGGTGGGGCTAATGCAAAACTGGAAACAGCTTTGGAAAACTGTTTTGCACAACTCGTTGCTAGCAAAGCACCTGGCCATGGCTAAATAGAGTCATTCCTGAAGGAGAATGAATAGTTTATGAACTTTATACTCTCCTTTATGCACAGCAGTTCTAAGCTAAGTCTTGCTATCTGTAACTGTATGTGTTGAAATGCACTGGAGATTAACTGTGGCTCTTGGTTTGTTCCTGCTAGTTTCACGTGGTCCGATGGGAAGCTGAACAGCAGTAACTTGCTGCTGTTGTCAGGGCAAGTGGTTGAACACTTTGACCTCCAGTTCAGGATTCTTTATGCCCAGTCAATGCCCATCAGCCCTAAGTGTCTGTCCAGCTGCAGGAATAGTGGGATATTCAATCACCTGGTGAGCAGAATAGAGTCCTCTAAAGAATATACTGTGGAAGGCAACTTGAGAGCAGAATTTGCCAGATTATCCAGTACTCCAAAGAAACTATTGAAAGAACCAGATCAAGCTGAAGATAGTTCTGGAGAAAACTCTTGTAACCTGGGGCATTCCTGCCTCTCTGCAGAGGCAATCGAGTTTGGCAATCGAGTGGCCATGGTGGATCAGAGAAGCACATCAACTCAAACTGGCCCATGGGAAGAGAAGCCAGCAGTGACTGTGTGTAATGCTGCTACGCAGACCTATTTTGTGACAGCAGAAGCTGGCACACAGGCATCAGTCACTGCTAGAATGATGGGCACTCAGACTTCAGTCTTGTTGAAAACTGCAGTGACACAGACAAGGGAAAGTGAGTACACAGAAACACCGCTGCTTCACAGAAAGTTGTCAAAAGAAGGATCTTCTCTGTCTGGAAAGGCTGTATCAAGTTGTAGTCTGTGGTCACTGTCTTCATCCTCATCCCAGTGCTCTCTTGCCAGCTCTACTGGCTCGGTATCTTCTCTTCGGTCCTTTGAATATCCTGTCTGTCACAGGGCAGAGTATTTCCAAAAGCTGCACAAAGAGAGGCAGTTCCACTACTCCACTATCAGATCGAAGCTGAGCCACATGGTACATATCCTATCCAGGAGGAGCCGTGAGCCTGAAAGCTATGTGTCCCAGTACATGGGAAGATGCCACCTGAAACAGAGGCGTGACATCAGTGCCAGCTTGCGCAGCCTCCGGGACCTTTCCCTCTATTCTCTGAATAAACGATGACTCCACTGAATGCAGAACACGCAATCTCCAGTCTCAAACTGCAGTCACTCTGTTCCTGCTGATTACTCCACTTCCTTCCAGGACTTTTCCTTTTCTTAATACACATGTGCATACCCCTTCAGCACTTTGCTTTATACTATGCAGTTTAAGCAATAAAAAAAGAGGTGTTTATTTGTATGATAAGTACTTACCTGTTCCTCTTATATGTGTTAGTGGTGAAGGTTCATTTTAATTTTGGATGTATAACCTGAAAAGTAAGCTGCTTACTGCTTCCTAGGATTGCTAACGCTCTGGCTTTATGTATATTTGGCAAAACCGCAGTCAGATGGGTCCTGCCTGGGGGCAGATTCAGTGACATCAATGTATACTTTTTTTTTTTTTAATGTTTGCTTTTTTTCCTATTTTATCTTCAGCATGAGGGGAAACAACCTTTATAAAGAGCCATAAAGCTGATTTTATTCTGACTTCAGCAATATATACATCACTCGTCCTTTAAAGTTGTGAAGGGTTTAATGGAGCTGCTGCAGGCTCTTACCTGCAACTGTGTCCCTTGCCCATTGTTCAAACCTTCTGAAATGGCCTCAACTAATTTAGCTCTTCAGCTTGGTCATCCACTCATGCTTTTGTGTAGGTATACATACACACAGTTTTGTGTATATATATATATGTGTGTGTGTGTTTGTATATATATGCACACATTCTCAGAAGAGCATTACTTTAAAACCAGGACTGGGAAGTAGCAACTTAACACTTCGTTGGAGCTGTACCCATTTTAGAGACAGTCCTGGTGTAAATGTTTTCAGTATTTGGAACTAAAAGCTGGATCTGTTGGACCTATATGACTGCTGATGGGAAGGTGTTGCTGAAGTGTGCTGGGTTTTGTGCTTGTGAGCAGAGCTGAGATGGTATCTCAGCTGTATCCTTATTGTATCTTACTATATGTTGTTTCTCCATATCTGTTGGACTCCTCTTTTGGAATGACTTCAAGGAACTTTGTCTCTCGTGCAGCTTGTTACACAGTTAAGAGTTTCAGGCATAGCACTGTAAAATGAGCTTCCATCTCTGGCTCCGTCTAGGAACATACGAGCCATCTTGCTTCTATTAAGAGGCCTGTACAAAATGTAGAGGTGAGACAATCACTGAAGGCACATGACAAAGCCCCTGCTTAAAAGCAAGCTGAGATGCACTACAAATGCTATGGGTTATGTTTTGTAACGTTGTACAAGTGTGAGAGTGAGGAAAAAAAACCCAACCCCTAACCCACCTTTTAACTGTCCTACCTGAAATATCCTGTTCCCTGCTCTGCTTATCCTTTCCCCACTACTAACTTGGGTTAAGGAGCTGCACTGTTGCTCTAGTTTTTCAATATATTCTGTTTTCAGTATTAAATGAGTCCTAGGTTAAGTTGCTTTGCAGAGATACGATGTGGCTCTGCCAGCAGCAGTCTGTGCATGTGTCTGCGCTTGCTGGATTACTGGTCTGAGCAGTGTGGAGGTTCTCTAAGACCTGACCTGTGCTGTTGTCCACTGGCCCTGCATGTGAGTGACCAACCAGCCTGTTCAGCCAAGTCAGACTGGAGTCTGGGTTGTGTACTTTCGTATTTATCCACACTTGCGTCCAGTAGATGGCACATTTAAGCTGTTGTCTTTAATGTTCCCGTAAACTGCAAAGAATGGGGAATAAAGAAAAATATCCAAAACACAAAAAGGCTGCAACTCCAGTGTACAGAGCAACGCTTTTTTTCTACTAACTTAGGTGTTCCCACGTCTGAAATCATATAGGTATCTATGTAGCATAAAGAGGTTTAGCTACTTTTATTGCTTGGATTTCAAAGCAGCCACTCCTGTGAGGAAGGAGGCAGATGTACAGAGAGGTGCGGGCTGAGGAAGAAAAGTTCTGTCTGTGCTCAAAGAGGTAAGAAACTGGTCCTACGAGCTGGAACACGGGGAGTGAAGTAAGTAGCAGAAGGGGAGCTGACATACATGGTCAAGGCCAATTTCGAGTGCCTGTGCTCAGCAGTGCTTCTATGTATGTAAAATCAACTTGCTTGCTATGTACCTTTATTACACTGTGTATCTGTTACGGTGCTCTCACAAGAACAAGCAGCAGTTTACAAATAAACTCTTTTTGCCGTGGGGGTTTTAACCTGATCAGTGCAGAGCTTTGCTTTCTGATTGTTTGGTGGTTTGGCCCCAGATGTTTCTTAAGCACGTCCGTGTGCTTGAAGATCGGCAGCTACCCTGGGCTCGCAGAGCAGGCTGTGCTGGGGCGTCTGCCCGAGGCGGGGTCTTGGCCCTTCTCAACCTTGGGACCAGGTCTTTGATCACCGGGGCAGCAGCGCCAAGGCTGTATTTACTCTCCCCGCTTAATGCGAGCTCCGTGTGCTTTGCGGATGCTTCTCCCTGGGCGCCTGATCCCAGCCGCCGCCTCTGCCACCCGCGGCTTTCCAGCCGCCGGGCGGAGCGGAGCCTGCTCGACCGCCCGCTGCTGCCGCGGGGCCGGGCGGGGGGCGGAGAAGAGCCGGGGAGCGTGGGGCCCGCCCGCGGAGCCGCTATAAAGCGGCGGCCGGGCCCGAGGGGAGCCGGTCGGTGCTCGCGCGATGGCGAACCCGTCGCAGTGGCTGGAGGAAGGCGCCGGGCGGTGGCCGCCGCGGCCGCCCGGGCCGTACAGCGAGGCGCAGCGGCTGGCGCTGGAGGAGCTGGTGGCGGGCGGCCCCGAGGCGCTGCGCGCCTTCCTGCGGCGGGAGCAGCTGCCGCCGTTCCTCTCGGAGCCCGAGGTGCAGGCGATCGCGCGGGGCGCGCTGCCGCCCGCCGCGGCCCCGGAGCCGGCGGCCGAGCCCTTCGCCGGCGCCTCCCTCGACGCCTCGTCGCTCACCTACTTCCCCGAGCGCTCGGACCTGGAGCCGCCGGCGCTGGAGCTGGGCTGGCCGGGCTTCGCCAGCGGCGCCTTCCGCGGGCTCACGCGGGTCGAGGCGCACTTCCAGCCCGGCTGCGGGGACAGCATCTACGGCTGCAAGGAGGCGGTGCGGCGCCAGATCCGCTCCGCGCGGCAGGTCAGTGCGGCCGCGGCCGGGCGGCTGCGGGCTCGGCTGCGCCTGGGGCCCTGCTGCAGCGGGGCTGCGACCCGGGACGAGGATCGGCGACGGCATCGACGGGCGTCCCCTTCGGGTGGCGCTCAGCGGGGCCGAGCGGCTTTAAAACCGCCGTCGGGCAAAGAACGCCTCGTTGGAGCAGCTCTGCTCTGGAGCCAGGCTGAGAGAGCTGGGCTGGGTCAGCCTGGAGAAGAGAAGGCTCCTGAAGGGGAGACCTTAGAGCAGCTCCAGTGCCTAAAGGGGCTGCAGGAAAGCTGGAGAGGGGCTGGGGACAAGGGCCTGTAGGGACAGGCCAAGGGGAATGGCTTGAACCTGCCCGAGGGGAGACTGAGATGAGCTCTTAGGCAGAAGCTCTTCCCTGTGAGGGTGCTGAGGCGCTGGCACAGGGTGCCCAGAGAAGCTGTGGCTGCCCCATCCCTGGCAGTGCTCAAGGCCAGGTTGGACACAGGGGCTTGGAGCAAGCTGCTCCAGTGGAAGGGGTCCCTGCCCGTGGCAGGGGTTGGGACTGGGTGAGCTTTAAGGTCCCTTCCAACACAAACCAGGCTGGGATTCTATTCTTTTCAAGGTTTTCGCCCACACTAATGAAAGTACAGGCATTACAAAGCTCATTCAGGGAGCTGGCACCTGAGAGTGACACGTTCCTAGCTGTCTTAATCAGTTGTTGCTTCCATGCCCTGCACTGGGTACAGGCAAACGTTTGTGTTCAGTCTATGTGTTTTGTTGTTGGTTTAGGTTTTTCTTATACTGTTTATTTTCTCACTTGAAAAGTTTGATAGACTCTGGAGAACATACGCTTTGGAAATCAGCTTGTCATTTTCTTCTGGCAGTGCTTTCGAAGAAAAGATATCAGTTCCCGGGGGAAAATACCAACTCTCTTGCCAAGGAACTGGAGACCAAATTTGCCTCTCACAGAAGTTGATGCCTGGTTTTGCCATAAGTCAGGGTTAGGAAGAAACTTGAAGCAATGATGCACTTATTTTTGTTACTGTTATGGTTTTTCCAAGATATTCCAGCACCCCAAACATATCCACCTTGTACTTGGTGCTCCTGTTACACCCAAGTTATTGATGTGGATGAAGAAGACTGGCAGCAAAGTGTCTTTCTTTTCCTCATGTGAAATACTTGTTTATGATCTCACTTAAGGTTTTGGAGAGGCGTCAAGTGTCTCTCTCCTGTGTAGGTCTTGGCAGTGCTCTGGAGTTGGGGGGAAGGAGCAAACACTCAGTTGTCTGTAATTTTTCCTGGAAGGTGAAGTTATGTAGTAAAAAGAAGAATGCTTTAGAATGACCTTAATTAAAACCCATGAGCAACTGACTAGATGCAGGAGCTCTGATTGCTGCTAATTCTGGATGAGCTCTGATTTTTAAAGACAGAAAAGGTGTCTTTCTGCAATAGGCTTTCAGGGTAGATTATCCGGAGCTATGGAACCAAAAAAGATACAGATCCTACCAAAAGAAGCTTCAATGTCCACTGTTGAAATTACAGGATGATCTTAAGGTCCTTTCCAACCCAAACTATTCTATGATTCTATGATAAATCAGTGAAATGATAGCAAAATTGGGGCAGAGAATCTTTAGCAACAATTTCTGCCCTTAAGCTCCATTTCTTTTTTTCGATTTATATAGGGACAGAATTATAGTGAAGGGCGATGTATATTGTATCTCCTGTACCTCAGTGTCCTGTACTTGCTAATCACCTTTACTAAAACATCCTTCTCTTTGCAGAAATTTATTCGACTCAGTTTTTTTCCTTTTTATTACATCTGTAAATGTTCCAGCAGTCCTGTGAACAACAAATGGATATATCAGATCACAGAAATCTGTCCCATGTTTCATAACCACCAATTAAAAAAAGGGGGGGAAGACAGAGATAGGGGGATATTTAAGTTGAAGGTCAAATGCCTCCTGTGCCATCTGCCTTGGGGTGCTGTGGAACCAGCCTAATGATTTCTTCTGAAACTTGTTGCAGATGATTGCCCTGGTGATGGATTCCTTCACAGACACTGATATCTTCAAAGACCTCTTGGAAGCTTGTAGCCAGCGGCAAGTTAAAGCCTATATCCTTCTAGATCAGTCTTCGTTTTCCCACTTTCTAAAAATGTGCAAGGATCTGGGAGTTGACCTTGAACAGGAAAAGGTGAGCCTTGTTATATTCATAGGGACAGACTTGATCCTCTTATGGCTGTGATCTTTGAGGTATCACAAGAAGAAACGGTTGTATCTGCTGCCACAATTTAAATGGGGTTTATGTAGCTATAGCTCTTGAAGATTTAAGCATAAGAAGGAAATGAATGGAGAAACTGAAATCTTTGTAAATGGATGTTACAGGTGCTTTCTGAGCACAAATACTAATTGAATATTAAAGGCAATGCAGGAGCAATGTCCAGTTCCTAAAGCATGAGTGGAGTTGGTCAGGCTTGCTGAGACTTTGCAGGCTGGTGGAGAAGCAGGTTCCTGGGGCTCTGTGGAACTTGTTCCCTCTGAGGTTAAGTGACAGGAGTTTTTACAGTCAGATTTTGCACAATCAGCTTATGGGTTTGCCCCTTAATGCCATCTCTTTGCGTACTAAAGACAAAATTATCATTTGATTTGTAGAGGATGTGCTATTGTGAGCAGCCTTTGCTAGTTCCTCAGTGATCATTGTTGTGTGTTACTCCTTTAAACACAATCGTTTACCTTTGAAATCCACATGACACCATATCTTTAACAGTTGATGAGAATTCGAAATATCACGGGGAACACATACTACATGAGGTCGGGTGCCAAAATTGTTGGAAAAGTCCGTGAGAAGTTCATGTTAATTGATGGCATTAGAGTGACAACAGGCTCCTACAGGCAAGTGCCCATTTCTTTATGTTGCTTAGCATGATTTCTTTACATGGAAAGGAAAATCAGCCATGTTGCAAAACTGTTTTCCTTGTCAGAGTAAATGTGTAAAGTTTGTCCTAAAAAGTGCACACTGCCTATCATTTGGATTATAGGAATAATTTAACTTAATATGACAAAAGAGAATTTTCAGTTAATACTGCCATTTGTTTTGAATTAACTCAAATTTTTCTCATCCTTCCTTTGCTAGTTTCACGTGGACAGATGGGAAGCTGAACAGCAGTAACATTTTGATCCTGTCAGGTCCTGCAGTCGCACATTTTGACCTGGAATTTCGGATTCTTTATGCACGGTCAAAGCCTATCAACCTCAAAGAGTTATCCAGCTGCAGGAAGAATAAGGTGTTGGACCAGGTGGTCAGTATAACAGTGGCTTCCAGAGACTTGACCAGGGAAAACTTCCTGAGAATGGAGTTTTTGTATCTTAGAGCGTTTGTAGGGAATCTCAAAAGGAAGCGAAGCTGGCTGCATGCCTCGAGGGAGGCTGTCTACCTGTCAAATAATGCAATGCATGCCTCTCCTCCACTGACTAAGAGGAATGGTTCCCTAGTTATGAGGCCACACTGGATCATAGAGAGATGAATTGCATGTTCACTCAGAGTGAGAAGCAGAACCTCAGGAACCACATCCACTTGTCCATGTCCAGTAGTGCTGTCTCACAGAATGTCCGTGAGAGCAGCTGGGAAACAAACCTTGAGCTGAGAGAAGTGATCCTGGCATTGTGGGTTTGTTCAAAGACTCCTATAATGCAGATCAACACATGCACTTAGGGTATTGTCTTCAGCTCAGGTGTGTTTTTAGAAAAAAACCAAAACCCCTCTTAACACCTGGAAAGCCATTATTGACTTCTAGTATCTGTCTTCTGTCAGATTTTCATCTTTCAACCATTCTCACATGTATTCAGCTGATGGGTTACCAGTGGCTTAGCCCAGTAACTCAAATTGGTTTTTAAAGTAATTTAGGTGTAGGAAATACGTTGCTTAAAAGTCTTCCAAAGATGAATAGCAGGACTGCTGCACAGCACTGAAATCAGTCCTGTGTGGCACGAGCTCCCTATGAATGTCTGAATGACACAGAACTGAAGCAGAGTAACCATAGTCTAGAAACTGATAGATCAGTACCATGTTACTGGTCCTCAACTGTTACATTATCTTTATGTGAGGCTGTGCTGCCTGGCGGGATGAGGTAACACATCAGGTGAACAAGGGTTTTGATTGAATTCCAAATGACCTTTTCTTAATTATAAGAACGCTTGGCTTGCTGGACATCATGCAATAAATATCTAGCTAAATAGACACAGATTTTTAGAAAAAAAACCCAAACCCTTTCTTAACACCTGGAAAGCCATTACTGACTTCTAGTCAATATCTAGTCTATCTAAATAGATATTTAGAAAAGTTTAGATAAAAATCAATAAATATCTAAAATATTTATTAGTTGAGTAGATCTGAAATTTGTGAAGCTGCTGCTACTTCTCAAAAGCCTTACTTCAACCAGACATGCAATAATGTAAAAATCAGCAATAGAACCATTTATTCTCAAGGTTTCATGCAAGTTTGATTCTTTTTTTTAATCCCTCAGTGTGTAGAGAAAACAAAAATCCCAAATGAATAGGCTGTCGGTATCCTCCCAGGCAGCTGTGCATGGAGGCACTGAATCCCAGCAGCCTGCTAGTGCAGAAATTTGTCAGTCCAATTAATGAGTGGCAGCTGTAGCAAAAGCAAAGGCACACCGTTCCTTGGGTTGCTCTTGAGGCTCTTGCTACTGCAGAAAACTCAGGTATATGCTTGCATAAGTGATGTGTGGGTTCCGAGCTTCAAAGGGGAAGGTTATAACTTAGCTGGGGCACTTCATATGCATCTCTGCTAAATCTCACCAGGATAACATTAAACTGGACACTTGGAGCTCACAAATGTTTTTTTTTGGCACTGCAATGATGTACTAGTTAGGATATGACTAATCTGCGCCCCTTTTCTTCTGCACTTAACACTCATGGAAATGTAATAGTTCTGACTCTCCTACTTTGTAAATGTTCAATAGTTTATAGTTCAATAGTCTTTCATCCAGATGTAAAGAAGTTTGAAATATATGTATTTTTATTCTTAACTGTGTTTTTCACAAACCGAGCCCACACAATGTTGTACTCTATGCTGAATATTGTTTGTGCAATCCTATTTCACAATAATTATCTGGATATGTTTTCTCAACTAAGTTTTTAACTTTATTGTTCATCTCATCATTTAACAGGTAACTCTTTCCATGTGCCATTAGTAGGACTTTTTCTCAATAGTTGCTTAATATCTTGATGATATGAAATAGTGTGATAAGTTGTGTTTATTTCTGATAGATTGGACTTAATCTAGCTATATATTTCAATGTGTTTTTCAGAATTTTAAGAATGTCTTTAATTCTAACTGAATAACCTCTTTCTCAAGTGATACCTAGACTTGACTTAAAAAGTGGTTGTGGAGGTACAGCACTGGGAAGTGTGGTGTTGTGTTAATCCACAACTGCACTGCTACTGTGTCCAGTCATTCAGGAAGAAGGCGAGTGATTAATAAGTATATAAAATGTGTTTATTTTCCATAAGCATTAATTTTGACAGCATTACGAAACTTACTGGAAGTTGTTTGTTTCTTTTTTTTTACTCCAGCCTGTACTTAATTAACTCAAAATCTACATTCAGTTTGATTCACCAGCCACTGTCCTGGGCTGTAACGAGCCAACCAGTGGTAGGGCACCACTAGATCTGTTAATATGACTGTGATTGTTTTCTTTCTAGTCCTTCAGCTTCCTGGTGTAAAGTGCCACAGCTGTGGCACATGTAGTGTGGAGGCATCCTTCATGTGGAGCAGGGAGGTGATCAGTTTTACTTGATCAACAAGACAAGGACTTTTTGGAGGCAGTCTTTCAATTCTGTTAAATCCTAGCTTCTCCCCCAGGTTATACATTTTAGTCACATCCGGGGGGCTCGGCTCAGACTTGCCCTGGGCATGCAGTATTTGTTTCACTGTTTGCCTGAGGGCTTGGAGGGGAAGGGTGGTCCTCAGCAACACCACTTCTGCTTGTGGAACTACCAGCATGGCGCTTGCACATGGTGCTGTAAACCCGGAGCCCCATCACACACAAGGTTGGCAGCTGACAGGGCCTTTCACCTGCCTGCAGAGAGCTGGGGCAGTGCTCCGCTCCCTGCCTGCACCAGCGGGGCTCCAACCGGAGCTGGCTTTCACGTCCTGGGCTGCATCAACAGGAGGTGAGCAGTAGGTCATGGGGGTGATCCTGCCTCTCTGCTCTGCTCTGTGAGACCCCACTTGCAGCACTGTGCATTTCTGGTGTCCCCAGCATAAAAAGGACTTGGAGCTGTTGGAGCAAGTCCAGAGGAGGCCATGAGGATGCTCAGGTGCTGAAGCACCTCCAGTATGGAGACAGGCTGAGAACACTGGGGCTGTTCAGCCTGGAGAAGAGAAGTCTGTGGGGAGACCTCAGAGCAGCTCCCAGTGCCTGAAGGGGGGCTACAAGGATGCTGGAGAGCAGCTCTTCATCAGGGACTGTAGCGATAGGACAAGGGGTAATGGTTTCAAACTGAAACAGGGGAAGTTCAGGTTAGAAACAAGGCAGAAGCTCTTCCCTGTGAGGGTGCTGAGGCGCTGGTACAGGGTGCCCAGAGGAGCTGTGGCTGCCCCATCCCTGGCAGTGTTCAAGGCCAGGTTGGAGACGGGCTTGGAGAAAGCTTCTCTAGTGGAAGGGGTCCCAGCTCGTGGCAGGGGTTGAGACTGGGTGTGCTTTAAGGTCCCTTCCAACACAAACCAGGCTGGGATTCTGTGATTCCCTCAACAAAAGCAATTGGCTCCTCAGGCCCCAGGTCCGCCTCGGGCCTGGGACAAGCCCCGCGGGGTGCCCGGACCATGGCAACGCACGGCGCGTCACGTAGGCCCCGCCCCACCGCTTCCGGTTGCCCTCTCACCCCAAGATGGCGGCCCCCGTGGGACCTGTGAAGTTTTGGAAGCCGGGTGAGGGGCTGTGGTGGGTCTGTGCGGGAGGGTTTCCCTCAAACCCGCCTCGCTCCGGCCTGAGCTGAGGCCGCAGCGAGAGCCCCAGCGCTGCCCCCGGCGGCTTCTGGGGGTCGCACGGCGTTTAGGCCCCGAGGGCGGCGGAGAAACGTGCTGCTTCTCTGCCGCCTGGGTTGCAGAGCGGCGGGTTCTGTGTGGCTCCAGCCGGGCGTTGCCGTTTAGCGGCGGTGGCGGGATGGTTCGGTGGGGTCGCTGCCGTTCGGGGGTTCGGGGAAGCTCACAGGGGAGCCCCAGAAAGTTAAAGGCAGGTGCGAGGTCCTGCGAGTTGCCACACGCAGGGAGAGCCCCTCAGCAGGAAGGAGCTCACGGAGCCCTGTGGGCCGTGAGCTGAGCGCGGGCCATTGGTGATCGCTGACAGCAGAGACCCAGTCCTGCCTGCATCTCGGGCTGGGTGAGGAGAAGCGTTGCTGTTGAGCTGAGGGGGGTGATCCCTCCCCTCAGCACTGGCTGACCTGTGAGCACCCCAGCACCACGACGTGGGCTTACTGAATGAGGTCCACAAAGTGAAGGGCCATGAGTGTGGTTGAGAGTTTGGAGCATGTGATGTGACATGCTGAGAGAGCTGGGACTGTGCAGCTTGTAGTGCTCTCAGGAGGATCTTTTCACTGTGTGTAAGTACCTCGTAGGGGAGTGTAAAGAAGATGGACCCAGACTCTTGGTAGTGCCTACTGACAGTACCAGAGGCAATGAGCACAAGCTGAAACGTGATAAAGTCAGCTTAAACACAGGAAAACCCTTTTCTGCTCTGTGGGGGGTCAGGCTGTGGAACAAGCAGTCAGGCAGGTTGTGGAGTCTCCATCCAACTGAGGACCTGAGCAGCCCTTGTAAGTGACTCTGTGGTAAGCAGTGTTGGTCTAGAAAGTCTCCAGAGGTCCCTGCCAGACTCTGCTGTGCTGTGGCTCGGTGGTCATTCCCCTGTCCTCTGGGCAGTTCAGTACCTTACCATTTGCTTACCCCAAGGGGAGTTTGGTGGGTGTGAGTTTGGCAGTTTTAAAATGTTGCTCACTGTGTTGTGGTATGCTGTGACTTGCAAAGCTATTTCATAGGCAAGGTTAGTTTAGCAAAGAGCTTCTTAATCATTTGAATATCATAGTAATATGTTGTAGATACAACATGTATATGTATAGCAATATGATGGCAATAGTGTATTTAAAAACCCCATAGGAAATGCTGTAAATGAAAATGGGTACATGATGAGCAGCAGCATTCATTCATTCTGCTGATTTGTCAAGATCCAGATATTCAAGTCCCTGATTCTGAACTTCTCCATTTGTAAACTACTAGGAAGTAAATTAACTATCCCGGTGGAAACCAGGATGCCCGGGGAGTGTACAGTTCCTGGAATCATTGCTAATCACTCTTCTAATTCAGTCAGTTTCCTATAAAACTTGAATAAGGACTAACAGTTTTTGAGCAGTGGGAGAAATAGGAAAAGCCCAAACAAGCAAATCCTGCAAAACATGGGAATCTTCTCTTTGCCCTCACACTTTCCCAGTTGAATCTGTAGCTAGAGATGTTATACATTCTGTTACTGAGATGAGGGCTTGTTTCTAGTTAATTTGCATGATTCAGCATTTTTTATTGTCAGTTTTATGGTAACCTGCCGCAGGAATAAATTAAGTTTAATTTACTGAGGTAAATTCAGATGTGAAACAACTGGTGTATCTCGTAAACGTGCGAGGTTGAATGTTTATATGGTTGTTATTAGTTAAGGGAAGTTCTGCTATCTGTTTGAATGGGTGGCTTAAAATTCATGGACATATTTCTGGGAAGGGTATTGAAGTTGTATCTGAACTGTTGCACAGAAAAAGAAGAAAGTTCCCAAGATCTTGTTGTATGTTTTTCCTACGTGGTTTTTCCCTCAATTATCATCCTTTTAAAATCCAAATACTTATTCACATTAGATTTCTGTTTAACCAGCAGAAGACACAGATTTCATTTGAAATCATTTGTTTACTGTAGTTGATATTTTGACTATTTTAATAGGAAAGTTAGTCTTTTGATATATGCTGCTACCTATGATTCCTACTCATTGGGAATGTATTTATTTTGGTTGTACTGTGGTACACAGAAATGTGTTCTTCCAGTTAAAATTGACTTATGTTATCTAGGCACGGAAGGTCCTGGTGTCAGTGTCTCAGAGGAGAGACAGAGTCCTGCTGAGAGCAGCAGCATATCTGTCATCTATAATCCTTATGCTTCCCTTTCTATTGAACAACAAAGACAAAAGCTGCCTATTTTTAAGGTAAAGAAGTTCTTTTGGGTATATTAGATCTGTTGTATGATGTCTGTCTCTTATGTCTTTTTTGAAAGAGCAATATAGAAACACCTTACAACATAAAGTAACAATTTTATTACCTTGATCTCTTTATTTGTTGGAAATGATTGTCCTGGTTGACAGCTGTTACTAACAGTTTTACAGGCTGTGTTATTTACTATATGTTCTATATGTCACTTATGGATTTCTAAAGGGCTGTTTAGCTTTTGGCAGTAAATCCATGTAAAATGAATTTACTGTCTCTGCCTGATATGTAAATGTTGTCATTAATTAGTTTCTTATTTTTGTACACATCCAGTTTTGATACTTGAATGTCATCTTCTGTTTCAGCTAAGAAATCACATCCTTTATCTAGTGGAGAACTATCAAACTCTGGTGCTTGTTGGGGAAACAGGTTGTGGGAAATCAACCCAGATTCCACAAGTAAGTGTTTGTTTAACTTGGTAAAATCAGGTATTCCCTTGGGGTATTTTACATGAAATGTTAAACCAGCAACCCAGAACTGCACTGAGAGAAGGGAAGTCCCCTGTGCTTGTGTGTGCGACCAAGAGGAGAGAAATAGAAGCAGCTGTAAAACCTTCCTCCACTACAGGAAAGGACCAGAGACAACACATAGTTTATTCTGGTACAAATAGTAGTCACTGTGCTGCAGTACGTGTTGATAATCAGTAATGTTTAAAATTTTGTTGAAAATATGTTTTAAAGTAGGGAAATAAAGTACACTTTTCTTAGGAGCTTTCCTGTTGGAAATTTTTGGAATGTTGTATTTTTCACGGGTTTGCAAAATTTTCTCATTTGTGAAGGCAATGTAGAAAGTCTGAGAATGTTTCAAAGTTGGTTCTTGAGTAGCTTGGAAAGTTGCAGACCAGTGATGAATGTAACCTGCATCAGTGTGACTGCAGGGCTTGTGCTGCTTAGCTTTTTTTCTTCAAGGGGTAATAAATAAAAAAGGAAAAAATTAAGAAGTTAAAAAATACTTAAGACTGAAAGAACTGCTCATAGATGTTTTCTGATAGTATGTGTTTAGGAGAGATTGTATTATACTGTATTACTTCTGATGGTGAGACTAATAACGCACAAAATCTCTTAAGTAACTGATTTGTCTGAGGATGTGCATCAGATGGTGTCACAACCGGCAAAAAACACATAGTGTGGAGAGCTAACACCTTGCTGCAGTCACAGCATGACCAGTTCATTTCTTACCCTCTGTATTTGTTTGCAGTACTTAGCAGAAGCTGGCTGGGCAGCTGAAGGAAGAGTTGTTGGAGTGACACAGCCTCGTCGGGTTGCTGCTGTTTCAGTGAGTTTCTCCATGTCTTTATTTTCCCAGTTTAATGTCATTATAACTTCCAGTTTATTAGCAGGAATGGTGTTGGCATGTGCTCCTGAACGAACAGAAGTTTCCTTCCTCACAGAATTGCTGGTACTATATGCTGAATTGAACTAGATTAGTAAGTCTTGCCAAAAATTCCAAGTCCAGAATTGCAGATGTAGAAGCTTTGAAAAAAATTGGGTGGAATCGGCAGAACTGTGTATGAAAGTTAGACTTGTGCAGGGCTGTGATTGATTCTGGACTAGAACTGTGCGTGAACCTTAACTTTTTCACAAAGTAAAGTAGTGATGTAAATCTGTGTACAGTAACATAGCTGTTGAAAGAAAGAGGAGGTTGTGTACCTCTTTCTAGCAGCTCACACCAAAGCTTTTTGAATCTCTTCTCTGTATTGTTTTTTTGTTGTTGGTTTTTCTTTGTATGTTTGGTTTGGTTTGGTTTTTGCCTTGTAAGAATGTCGTGGAAAAGAAACAACAATTTTATTGTGAGAACTCTTTTACTGTTTAAGTAGATATATATATCTTTTCCTATAGAGACATATATAAGTAGGATGTCTGGGAAAGCATAATATCAGCTAGATGTACTACAAGAAGAAGAAGAGGGGGATGCCAAGGGAAACAAATTGTACTCTCTGGTAATAAAGAATAAGTATAAAAAAAGTCTGTATGGAAAACATCCAGTACTCCTTGTTTTCATAACTCCTGCCAAACACTGACTCGGTGGGCTGAAGTTTCTGCTGCAGCGCTCCTTTTACAGAAAACTGTGGTGCAGTTTTGTAACCCTCATTTTGCTTGTTCTTTATAATGTATTAAAGTGTACCTGCAGCAAATCAGCTTATGCCTCCCATAAAAATGTAGTAGACTGAGCAGCTGTACAGCTTGCCTTTTCATCTCATCCAGTATTCTCTGAGAATATCCAACATGGAGAGGGAAACAGCAGTGATCCGCATTTTGTGCTTTGGACAGTCTGCCTGCAGTGTCCTCCCTTTTCTCCTTCACAGAACATCCAGCTGACAGTGCGTAGTTCTACAGGGGATGTTGTGTATGCTGCAATGTTTTCTCACAACAAACTTAGTTCTTCTTTCTCTTTCATGTCTTAAAACATTATTTTTAAGCCTAAAATAAAATGATTACTTGAGCAGGGCTTAATATATAGACACAGTAGGATTTTCCTTTGAAATGCTGTTGCAAACTGTGTGAACTGTATGGCTCTTACAGGGAGATGAGAGATACAGTTGATGATTGCTTTGTCTTGAATTGAAAGTGATCTTTTATTTTAAGAGGTGTGCTAATCTGCTTTTTCATCTAGAGTATGGGGGGAGTGTCAGAAGTAAAGACAAGTTGTTGCAGAGGCATAAGGCACTGTTTAGAAATTCCTAAACTTCTGCTTGGATTACCCAGGCTGATAATTATCCTGAATGCTTGGGCTGAAAGTGGCTGAGTGATACTATTCTAAGTGAAATCATGAATTCACTGCCTGTGGGTATGGTTTAGAATGTCACTCAAGTGACTGGAAGTAGCTTGCCCTTGGAATTCTACTAGGACTAATGTATGTATTGTGGGGTTTTATTGTGCTGTTAGGTATTAAATGTCCTTGTAGCTTGCTGAAACCATGGCCTGGTAGTATCTAATGTTCTGTAGAATAAGTGTAAATAACTCAAGATTTTTAGCTAAAGGTGCTATTGGCTTAAAACTGGTCCAGGGTAGTACTGTTGCTTCTTTTAATTATTCTGCCAGTTTGTTATCTGTTTTCTGCATAGAAGATTCTCTATTACCTTTATACAGTACAGTAGCATCTTTATTCAAAAAAACCCAAAACAAAACAAGAAGGAAGTCTGAGTAAGTTCAGGGACACATCAGTTTACCTGGTAACTTCTTTCTGTATGCCAAATCCCTGCATTCATTCCCTTTTTGTATATCGACTGGTCTTAAATTGCATTCCTACAACTGCTGCTAGGTGGTCCTTTCTCAGCGTTGTGACTGGTGGAGTAGCTGCCTTTGTAGGCCTGTCAGAGTGCTTATCACAAAAAGGTATCTCTATGGCTTTCCCGGTTAGAAGCAGCTTAAAACATTTACTAAGTTACACTAAAATATTTTAAAGCATTTACCAATTGTATGTTCAGTATGCACTGTTTATGTCAAACAGAATTTTGTGTTAGAATGAGAACAAATAATTCTTCGGAAGCATCAGCTCTATTTCCTGTTTTGGTGCCAATTCTCTACAAAATAATGATAGAGTGAAGAAATGTGCTGTGAGCTGTCTATTGTTTGTAAGAATCTTTTTTTCTCAGATTGCAGGCAGAGTTGCCGATGAAAGAGGTGCAGTGTTGGGGCATGAAGTTGGATATTGTATTCGGTTTGATGACTGCACGGATCCACAAGCTACAAGAATTAAGGTGAAACTTGAACAGTGTGTGGTTACTCTGAAAGGGTTAGCTGAAACTCTCCAAGTACTTTTACAAAATTAATGAGACCCTTATGATGCCCAGTAAAGAGAATACATACATTGCAGTTTTCCAGGTGGGTATCCCGAAAGTGTGCTTGGAAAAGCTGTGGCTATCCAAACCTTACTAAAGTGTGTACATGTTCTTTTCTGCTAGGCTGGCAGCAACCACTGTGAAATTAAAGGGGATTTTCAAGGAAGATGTGACCAGTTATTGGTACAGTGCTAGTGTGACCTGATGTGTCACACAAAGTCATAGGGAAAGGCTGCAGTGAATCACAGCTGAAGTATACTCGCCACCCTAAAAATAGATTTTGGTTAAAAGTGCAGATAAAACATGAGATGAGTAGGCTGACTGAGTGCAATGTGATGTGAATTCAATAGTAAGCTTTGCAGCTGTTCTTCAGTACTGTGAGCAGTATTAATGTTGCTTGTGTTGGTACAGATGAGAGTTTGCTTATGCTGGAACAGCAATGATGATGAATGAAACAATTTACTTAGATTTTTGATTTCTGAGGCTAGTAGCCCTTTTAAAAGCTGAAGAGCTGGAGATGCTTGTTCATTCAATGCAGCTGAAATCTTCAGGGTTTTTTTGGGATTTGAGTTTAGTGTTTTTTTTGTGTGTGTGTGTGGGGGGGGTTTAGTTGTGATGATTAATCATTTGGAGTTGGAAATCTGGAGGTTTTTGCCTTGCACATCAGTTCTTGCCTAGTTCAAGGCCACATTTGGAATCCCAGGTCAAACTATTGATCACTGCATAAAGCTGGTTGGGTTTCCATGGGCTAGTAGGAAGCATTAAATTTTAATGTTGCCTTTTTTTAACATGTGAAGGTTTGTGTACTGGTCAGATACTATGTGGTCTACTTTGAGAGGGTCAATATTACATTGACATGCAGGATGTTACTGGTAGAGCTGATTTAGCTATGTTACAGACAACAGTGAAGAAACTTCTATTGCCATATATCAGTGCTGCCAACCTGTTATTTTATTTTTTAATGCAAAAATAGCTTAAATACTGATTAGAAACTGGTCAGTCTGATCACCTCTGGGTTAGCATTCAGAAATACTGGCAGCCGGAAGGAAGCAGGGACAGGACACCTTGACCCAAACTAACCAAAGGGGTATTCCATACCACAGCACATCATGTCCAGTATAGAAACTGGGGGGAGTCACCCTGAAGGCCCAGATCGCTGCTTGGGTTGGGCTAGGTATCTGTCGGTGGGTGCTGAGCAATTGTATTGGGCATCACTTGTGTTTACTGTTTTTTTTCCTTTCCCCTTTTAGTTTCATATTCTCTCCCCTTGTTTTTTCTCTTACCACTATTTTTATTAGTGGTAATAGTAGTATTTTATACTTTAGTTACTGGGCTGTTCTTATCTCAACCTGTAGGGTTTACGTTCTTTGGATTCTCCTCCCCATCCCTCAGGAGTGGGGAGGGAACAAGAGGGGAAGTGAGTGCATGGCTGGGTGGTTCTGAGTTACCAGCTGGGCTTAAACCATGACAATAATCTATAAAAATCACGTGGCTAATTAAGACTAGTTGGTGGGTTTTGTTTACATTTTTCTTTGCATTCACTTTTAGTTTCTAACTGATGGTATGCTGGTGAGGGAGATGATGGCTGATCCTTTATTAACAAGATACAGGTAAGGAACCATGGAATGAATGCTTGCTGAAGTGTAATTTGATAAACAACTGATTTTTTTTTTAATTTTTTTTTATGCTGAGGTATGGTTATTGTAAATTAAATACCAAAAGTGAAAATTACTTTAGGAGTTTGACTACTTAATGTTGTAAAGAGTTAGAAAATCAGCTGATCATTGCAACACCAAACTCAGCAAGATTTGCTGCTGTGCTTTTGGAACAAAAGCTAAATGGGGTTTAGAAGAACTGTTTAATTTGCTAGTTTTAAATTAACTTTCTTTCTGATGCCAATCAAATTAAAAATAAAAAATCACTAACAAAAGCAAGCATATTCCAGTATGCAGACAAGCCGTGCAGTGCAGTAAAGCCAGACCCTTTTTTTCTACTCTTTTCCAAAAGCTAGCCTGAATAAAGAGCAGTGTGTATGGGCCACGTTATCTACATTTTTCTCCCTATCTTGTTTTGTGATTTTATTTATTTTTTTAACTTCCACAGTTTTCTAAGTGGATGTGCACAGTAATAGTCCAGTAGCAGATTTCAAATAATGATATTTCTGGAAGATGGGAAGACACTAATTCTAGTGTCAATCATCAAGCCATTTTTGAAATCTTAATCTTTCTGCTTTGTTCACAGTGTCCTCATGCTGGATGAGGCCCATGAAAGGACTCTTTATACAGATATTGCCATTGGCTTACTGAGAAAGGTTATATATTTTAATGTTCTCTGTAACGATTTTCATTTTCATCCTTTTTGTTAAACCCCTGATCCTGATGGCTGATTAGTGAATCCATTTGAGAGAGGGCAATTTCTGATTCCTTATTATCCTACAGCCTGTTGTACATGCCCAACTATGTACTGTAGACATCTGTCACTCAGGATCCTTGTGTTTCCTCCCCCCAGTGCTGAAATGTCTCCTTATTAGCAAAAAGGTGGTCTTCATTCTGCTGCTGCTGATCATGTGAAGTGATCTCATAGGGGGTTATTGTTGACTTTCAGCCTGGTGAAGATCTGACTCCTACCAGAAATTAAGAGTAAACAATCATGATTACAGGCTGAATGCCCTTAAAATGAATATATAAACCTTCAGCCATCAGGCTGTTAGATCTGTGGAGTGATGAATGTGCTTCAGTTCCTCAGCTGTTTTGTATTGTCAAAGTATTTTTAAAGAGAAGTTATTGGTAATCTTGGTTTTAGCCTTGTATCTCAGAAAATGTTTTTTACTCTGGATGTTCTTAATCTCTGTCCTAGATTCAGAAGAAGCGTGGGGATCTTCGATTGATTGTAGCTTCAGCTACCTTGGATGCAGAGGTATAGTTCCAATGTGGTTTGAAATAAATTGACCTTAAGTGGCAACTCCACTTGTATATATATATGTGTATATATATGTGTGTGTATATATATATGTATATATTCTGTGTGGAGCTTGCTTCTTGTGAAACATTACTGCTGTTTGAGTGGCGAAGAAGAGAGGAAAGAATGCAGGAAAAAAGTCTGCAGTAGTTAGGTTGTTGCATTTGGTTTTCATTTTGTATTGGCAAACTTTTTTTGGAAGTGAATATAAATATGAACCTGCTTCTCATATATTGATGTCTGTTTTTTCTTCCCCCTCCTTCCCCCGCTCCTTCCAGCCCCCCATTGGTGGTGTTGTATGAAAAGATGTTCCCTTGACTTAATCTAGTCTAGTAAGAGACATTGGTTTAGCTGTGTTTTGCTGATGGCAGTAATTTGAGACAACCACAGGCCAGTAAAAATGAGTGATAAATGAGGGGATTCAACATCAGTGAGATCCTGCTAGTTCCCTTGGTTGACTTGTGGCCTGTGGAAACTTATGTAACTGACTAAAAACATTGTTAATTTAATTTTGAGTAGGAACAGAAAACATGTTCTTCTATAATCAGAGCAGTGTTTCATCAAGCCCAGTCTTTCTGCAGCAGCAGCAGCAGTAGGAGATGCTGGTTAGGGAGAGTGTGGGAGTGCATGCAGCTGCTGTGGGTCTGTTCTCTGTGAGCTGCCTCAGCACCTGCAGTGGTTGCAATAGAGGCATTACACAGTGCATTCCTGCAATTTCATTCTAGTATGTGTTTATGGACCTGCTGTTTTTTAATTTGTCTTCAGATCTGCTCGATGAAGCTGTTAAGTCTTCAGGACATCATGTGAGAGCAATTTTCAGAAGTTTGCCACCTGCTGTGTAATGCAGTACTTTATTTAATTTCTTCCTTTTCTGCTCGTTTCATTAAGGACCTCCTGGTTCTATTAGTATGGGATTCGCATTTTTTTTTTAACACAACAATAACCAGCACCAGTTTTACATTTACTTACTTTGTCACCTTTGATTCTGTGCACCTCAGCTGTGTGGGTTTTCAAACTGCTGCTCCCAAAGCAGAGCCCCAGCCTTTCCAGTCTCTCATAAGGCAGCTGCTCCATTTCCTTTATTGTGTTCTTTTGCGTTCCTACTCCCCTGTGTCCTTCATGAGGTGTGGTGTTGAGAATCTGTGTGCAGCACTGAAAGTGTAGGTGTACTGAGATTTCCTTTAGTGGCAAATAGCATGTGCCATAAATTTTTGACTGTAAGCTCTGGTAGCACTTGCACTGTTGTGTATTCTGTACATTAGATAATACTACAGTACTCTGCCTTTGCAAAATTTTAACTGCCAAAAATAGCATGATTCAAATAGCTTACAGGTAATGTAAAAATAATAAGGGAAAAATTATTAGTATGACTATATTAACATTTGTTTAAATACAGAAAGTTTATTGTATCTCTATAATGGTCATGAAAGTCAGGATGGATTATTTGGGTTCTTAACTTTCATTCTTTTGCTCTTTTGCATTTAAAATACTGTGGCAATGAAACTGAATTTATGAAGGTGTCTCACAATGCAGAAGACAAAAACCTAAATCAGCCTAAGTGCTTTTACCAAGTGAGATGGTGGTGTTCAGTAAGATCTGTAAAATAAACTTGCTTATCCAGAAATGGATGAGAATATGCAAGCCCTATCCAAAACTTTGAGGACCAATCATTTCTAAGTTCTTCTTAGCTTTGACTTTGCTACTGTTATAGATCCAGTAAGAAGTTTATATATCTGCTTTGTCCAGCAGTATCAGTTCTTCTAAGTAACTTTATTGCCTCTTTTTGACCTTTGCTTCTCAAAAGCAATAAACATGCAACACTGTGTGTGTGACAAGTGCCTTATGCCGGACAGGAGAGAAGGCAACAAACCCCAAATCTAAAATTTTAAATTGGCACTGTCAAATTTATGAATAAAACACCCAAATTGCAGTAATTGAACTTCTTCATGTCTTGAGGTTTCTCCCTTCATTCTTTGAAATATCAAACTGAAAGTGTTTCTTTTTATTTTAATGTAGAAATTCAAGAATTTCTTTAATCAAAATGATACCGGTGACCCCAGCAAAGATACCAGCGTGATCCTTACTGTGGAGGGCAGAACGTTTCCAGTGGACATCTTTTACATACAGAGGTGTGTTTGATCTTGTCATTGGTGCTTAGGAGGGTATGTAGCTATGGTATCATTTGGTCTGTGTTAGAGCTTAGATGTTCCCAGAAGGTGTGACCTTCAATCTGGCAAACATTTGGATATTGCTTATAGCAGCTAACATGTTTTTAGGCTTGCTGTAGTGGAAAGGAAACAAATTACTTGCTGATTCCCAAGGATGCATCATGAACTAAATGTGGTATGGCTGTTGTGTAGTTTCCAAAAGCTAGCTTGCTTTTTGTTCCTTATGGAAATGAGGAAGCTGTACTTATTTTTCTGCTAATGTCTCTCCTATTTTCTCCCTGTAGTCCTGTTCCAGACTATGTAAAATCAACTGTGGAAACTGCAATGAAAATCCACCAGATGGAGAATGATGGTGATATACTGGCATTTTTAACTGGCCAGGTACAGACATAAGCAATATTTTTGCCTTACAACACTGAATTGTTGACTTTCTGAAGTGCCCTGAGTCTCCTGCTTTCCTTAGCTCTGCTTCTTTTAGTGACATTAAAGATGACAGACATTTTTACATTGATGGGAGCAGAATTAGGCCAGTCACAAAGACTTGTAGAAAATGTATGGCCTGAATTTATCAAAGCTAGTGATGAATAGTTTTTCCCATTTAATACTTTCAGCCTTGTTAAAAAATGTGTGGGGGTTTTTGTGCTAATCACACCTGCAAAGTTGTTAGATTTACAGTGAGTCATTGCTAATAGTTAAGGCAAATGGAATTTACATTTGTTGGGTTTCACATCATTATCATGGCAGACAAATGAATTTCTGTGAGATACAAATTTGTCTTTTCCTCTCTATGCCTGTCAGCTCACTTTGCAGTGAGAAAAAACTCACATTTTTCCAGTAAAGAGCTACCTTGAAGAGCTTCAACATCTTGCATATTTTCAAAATAAAATTCTTCATCCTCACTATTGATGTAATTTTTGGAAGAATGAATTGGGTATCTCAGGAGGCAGTGTCTGATCCTTTTGTTGTGTGTGTTTAAGAGTGAGATGCCACAGTTGATCTCTGAGATTAAGTGTGAGGTTGAGCAATAGGTGCTAATGAAGTTACTGTGTCATTCCTGATCAAGACCCACAGCATTCTGCACAGTCAAAATAGATTGGCCTCCCATTTTTCTCTCACAAGTTGAGATGGAGAGGAAAATATGCCTGCTTCCTCCTGAGCTTTGTTCAGTCCTATCCTAGTGATTTTGCTCATGTATTTGTGATGTGACATTGTCTCAAATAACAATGAGCAAAAATATTAATATGAACACATATTTATTATGAATAGCAATTTATGTAAGAATATTACAAAATTGAGCTAGTCAAAAGATCCCAGGGTTTGAACAATTTGAACTATGGTATTTTGGTGCATTTTTTTACATGTAGGTGACAGCTATGTGGTCTAAAAGTGAAACCTCTCACATTCTGTCCCCTGTCATGCTCTGGCTCTAGGAGGAAGTGGAGACTGTTGTTTCTATGCTCATAGAACAGGCTCGGGCCCTCTCTCGCACTGGAATGAAAAGACACCTCCGTGTTCTCCCCATGTATGCTGGGCTTCCTTCTCCTGAGCAGATGAAAGTGTTTGAGAGAGTTTCTCACAATGTCAGGAAGGTAAGGCTGCCATGTATGTCTCAATTTCTACCACCCAGAGGGGTATCTGCATTACACAGATTGCATATATCTGACTCACGTCATGAGACTATTGCAAACACTTACCGAAGGAGTCTTTTTGTATCTCCTAACACTGCCTATCAGTTTTCAATCTGTGAACCAAGAGCATGTTCTCTGGCTTCCCTTACCACCTTTGATCAGTCTTAGACATGTTAGCTCTAACTTTCCTGTTAACCTCATCAACTTTCAATTTTCAAGAGTCTTTGTAAAACCTCATATTTGTCTATGTCCAGTTGCAGTTTCTTAATACTCTTAAGTCTTTTACCTGGTTTTATTTCTTTTTGTGGTCTAAGTGTCTATGGCTGTTTTCTACCTGTAATGGAAACATTAGTGTCAGAGTGGGTAAGTAAGTGCTGTATTTTCATCTAAGAAACAAGTTGCTTGGTTTTAGTAGAAAAAATGCTTTTTTTTTTTTTTTTTTTGACTTCTGTCTGTTTCAGTTATTTAATGTCACAGAACAATATAATTGGTCATGATTAATGCTTCCTGCTTAGGCAGAGCCTGTGTTGGGGCTGAGATATGCCCATAGAATTACACAGGGTGACTGGTTATAATTTTGTTCATGCTGCAGACTAAAAGGTAGAATTGTTCATCTGGTGTTGGAGAGCATTGAATATAAATGAACCACAGAATACTTCTTTTCTCTCCAGGGTATGACATTAGTCAATTAACTTCCAAGATTTACCTTTTTAATTTCAGGTGATATAAGGACTAGGTTTCTCTCTGTCATCTGGGAATGATTATTTTTTGATATTTTAGGAAGTAAGTGTAAGTGTGTCTCTCCAGGGATACTGAAAGTGTGACACTTAACTCTGTGTTCTCCTCCTACCCCTTGCCTTGCTCCAGTGTGACAGGGAACAGCTCAATAGAACTGAGAAGAAAGAAAGTACTTGTTATTACATAGTTTGCTAAATAAGAACAGCTGATTTACAGTCAGTTAATGATTTTCTCTGCAAACACTGCCAAGTTGTTCTTCTAAGAAGAGAGAATAAATTTGGATGAGAAAGTGATTATGAAGCTGTAAAAACTGGCCTATTTCAAGCTGACAGCTCTGTCTGCTGCATTACTGTATTGTTTGGTACTCCAGAGTGTCTTTACTGGAACTGTCTGTTACTGAGACCTTTCACGTGGCTTGTATTTGAGTCCTAGTTCACTGATGCAAGGCCCTGATGGTGTAATTGAGACTGGGGAGTTCACCATATCCTCACTGTGTCTGTCTGTAGGTGGTAGTTGCCACCAACGTTGCAGAGACCTCCATCACGGTTCGCGGAATAGTATTCGTAATTGATTGTGGGTTTGTGAAGCTTCGTGCCTATAACCCCAAAACAGCCATTGAATGTCTTGTGGTGGTTCCAGTCTCTAAGGCTTCAGCTAATCAGAGAGCAGGACGTGCAGGACGGAACCGCTCTGGTAAATGTTACAGGCTTTATACAGGTCAGTAATCTGATATGTAGGGAAGGTGAACTTGCTGATGTGACTTCCATTTTGCTTTACAGCGGTTTTAGTGTTAGATAAAGAACAAAAGTGTGTTTTTTCTTTCAGCATGATAAAATGATAGTGATAATGGTAAATGATAAAAGATGCACAAGCGAGTCCAGAGGAGCCCACAAAGATGCTCCAAGGGCTGGAGCAGCTCTGCTCTGGAGCCAGACTGAGAGAGCTGGGCTGGTTCAGCCTGGAGAAAAGAAAGCTCCTTAAAGGGTGACTTTAGAGCAGCTCCAGAGCCTGAAGGAGCACTGGCACAGGGTGCCCAGAGAAGCTGTGGCTGCCCTGTCCCTGGCAGTGTTCAAGGCCAGGTTGGACACAGGGGCTTGGAGCAAGCTGCTCTAGTGGAAGGTGTCCCTGCCCGTGGCAGCAGCTGGAACTGGATGAGCTTTAAGGTCCCTTCCATTCCAAACCAGGCTGTGATTCTATATTTCTAATATAAGGACTGCTGGAGCTGCTGCTACAGATTTCTGTGAAGAACATTTCAAGTAGAAGTACAGGTGGGGCAACTGCAGAATCAGCGGTGTAGCCAAAATCATTGAATTTTCTCTTTAAAAGAAATCATCTTTAAAATGCAGTAATTGGAGAAAGATCATCTTTGAGTTAGAGTTCTTTTAACACCTGTTAATTCAGACTTGATAATTTTAACTTGAAATGGGTATGATACACACTTCTTGAGTGTACAGGGTAGGAGTTGAAACTCAGTCTTAAATGGCTTTGTTTTCTCCCACTGCAGAGGAGGACTTTGAAAAGTTGCCCAAGTCCACTGTTCCCGAGATGCAGCGCAGTAACCTTGCTCCCGTCATCTTGCAGCTGAAGGCTTTGGGAATTGACAATGTGCTCAGGTTCCCCTTTCTTTCAGTGAGTCCTAGGCTGTAAAATCTGTCATCTTTCCTTACTCGGAAGGAAAATCAGTAGCTGAATTGTTGGTAACACACAGAACCATTGCCCTGTTAATTTGGAAAGCATAACTTGTTGTCAGCTTTGGGCATTGAGAATCAACTAGTGCAAGTAATGTGTGTGACAACTTGGAAACAACAACTGTTTGTATTCTGGAGATTGCTGTTCAAAGTATTGGCAAGTCAAGAAAGGCAAGCAGATTCTGCAAAATAACTGTAGTCCCTTTCCATTGAATTTATGAAGAAAAAGGGGGGAAGGGAAAAGATACCTAGAGTACTAAACCAGTGCTTGTCTGTTTTGTTAGAAAGAGCAGTATCAAGTTTTAGATTTGCTTTTTTGTAAAGTTTCTAGCTACTCTTATATTGATGTGGAAAACTCGCATGATGGCATTAGAAGAGAAAGTTAAGAACTGTTCTGATCTGATGGTGGTGTGAGCCTGTTGAGATGATTTTGACTCGCAGCATTGCAGTCAGTGGAAGGGTGAAAGCAAGAGTCTGAGACCTCTTTCCTCACTATACAGGAGTAGAAAGATAGGTAATTAGAGCTTCAGGATTTTGTAGAAGAGGAAGGCCTAAGAATTTCTATGATAACTCATGTGTTCTGCGATGATAACTTTAAATAATGAGCCTTTTTTTTTTTCTCCACAGCCACCTCCTGCCCAGTCAATGGTGCAAGCTTTAGAATTGCTGTATGCTTTAGGAGGTGAGAAATACTATGCTTTGCTTTATTTATAGTTCAGTTACATGAGTTATGAAAAAAACTGTTAATTTGGATTTGGTGATTGGATGGACATTAATCAAACTTGCATTTGAGAGCTGTGCTTTGAGAAAGAGATAACTCAGCCTTGACTGGTGGAAGCTTTCTGTTGGCATGTTTTAAAAGTGTACCTCAGTCTCTTCTGAACTTAACTTTCTTTTCCTCCAGTTGTTTCAGACAGGTAAGCAAGCAAAAGGCAGCAGTAACTTTCTGGGAGCACCTAGAAATCCATTTCGTAGCATATAAACTACATATTAAGTGTTTAGATTGAGCAAACATATTTTATAGCTATTACCTGTGTATTTCCTTGCACCTTCATGGGAGGAACCAGCTATTTATCTTTGGTAGGAAACAGGGTTCTGAGCTGATGAGGGTGTTGGTGTGATTCTCTTGGGCAGATCCTCTGTGTTTCTTCAGACCTTAAAGGGGGCTAGAACTGGATGAGCTTTAGGGTCCCTTTCAACCTAGGATTCTATGAATTACTGATCACAGCTTGTTCTCAAATTCATTAGAGTCTGAACCACATTCTTAGTCATATGGTTTGGTGTTAGGTAGTCCTGCGAGGAGCAGGGAGCATGACTCAGTGGTTCTTGAGTCCCTTCCAGCTTGAGGTATTCTATGACTGTATAAGTGCTAATTTCTGTTTTATTCATTATGCTGCTGTTGGATACCTGTAACACTCAAGTCACGCTGTAGTAATATTTTTATACACAGTTTTTGATTCCTTTTTGTTGTGAGTGGAATGAATGCTGCCTGATTTTGTTTATAGGAAGAGCTATTATATTGTTGGGGTATTTGACAGCTGTTTAATCTTTTTGAATGCAGCAAACTTAAACAAAACAACTTGACACAAGAAGAAGTAATCAAAATGAAACAATTTGACTCTAACTCAATGTCTGTGGTTAATTTAAAGTTAACAATATTTGCCCCATAATATAAACATGAAGAAAAGGGTAGTGTGATGGAGACTGTAAACGTTGGAAGCATCCAGAGGTTTGTGACTATTTTGACATCACTTAGAAATGCTGTGTTGTAGCTTGTGGCAGTCTGCTGTCTTGTTCACATGGAGCTGTTATTCTCTGCTTGGCCATAATTTTGCTCTGTGCTGATTCAGTTCCATCTTGCAAAGGAGAGTTTTGCTTCAGGCACTTGGTTCTTGGCAACCTTTTCAAGCTTGGAACAAGGACCTTCACACTGGTTCAGAAGCATGTTGCAAAGATGAATTCACAGCCAAAACCACCTGGGGAGATGGAGAGGGAAGGTCAGAAAACTTACTGATTAGCTGTTTGATGTTTTGGCGAGAGTGTTATGCTCATGGTAACTTCACAGAGCAGTACAGAGCTGTTAATCTCTTGGCTGCCCAGCTTTTGTAGCAAAGCAGAGGAGTGCTGATGTTGATGAAGATGTAAAGAAATGTGTGTAGTGTTCAGATTCACTCTTAAACATTGCTGAAATTTAAGGTGTTAGATGGTTTATTATGGAGATTTTCTGTAAGTTGCAGAGATAAAGCTGCCCAAGCATTTGCAGCTGCAGTAAGGATTACATTTCTCTTATGCAAGTGTGAACCTGTATTTCAACACTTGCATTGTAATTGCATGCAAATGTGCAGTTTAGGGCCAGGACCCTACCGTGCCAGTGCAGTGCCAACAGAAAAGCAGATGCTCTTCAGGTTGAGATAGTTCTGTTGAATAAACACGCTGTTTTTAGACTGATTATTTTTACAGTGATACAAACTGATTACATCAGGAGTATCTCTTCTCAGCCTTCTCCTTTGATGCTTTGAAAGTCTGAATTGTCAGTTGGGGTTTATTGTTTTTAAGCATCATTTAGGAAGTAAATAAGCAGGTAGAAAATGAATTTATTTTTAGCTTTGCTTCAAATCCAAGGTTTTTTTGAAGATTTGTTTGTGAGTTGTCACCTATCAGAAACAACCACTCTACCTAAAAATAGAATGTTTTAATCCCTCAGCCTGTAACATACTAGTGCCACAGTACCTGAGTAGTTTCTTCTGAGCGTCTTCAATAAAAATCTTTGCAGCATCTTTTTCTAAGATCTCCAATTTCCTATATAGCTACAATAAAGTGGTTGCTTCCAGGATGATTTCAAGGCAACTTTTACCTGTTCCGAACTAGTATCCATTGCAGGCTTACCGCTGCAAAGACATCTGTGCATGAGCAAAACTGCATTAAGATTTGTAAGATTAAGCAGAAGCCAAAGGATTTTAGCTTGATGCACATGTAAAAAGTTAAAAAGATGGTAATTTATCCTTTTTGATAGTAGTAATGCAGTTACCCTTCTGTAGATGAAAGACTGCATATTCTAAGGTATTAATTGTGATAGCACTTAAACCTCTCATATTGCATCACTGGTTAAGTGAAAGCTATCAGACCTTCATTTTTGCACTGTCTGTGACTTGGTGTTTATATCACTTCATCATTTCACACAAGCTGCCTTTTGTACCTGTTTCTGAGGAAAATATTATGACATTATGTGAAAGGCCTATTAGGTTTGGTTGGACAGTGTAAGGGTGTGGCAAGTGAATTACTACGTTGCCATAATAAGTGAGATGATAGTATATCAAATAATAAACACTTGATAGAGGTATCTGTGGTTTTAGATATGCTGACATGAGTTATAAAAGATCGCATTCCTTGACTTGATTTGTGGTTTTGTTTTTCTCTGGGAAGCAGAGCTGAAGTGCAACTGTGGAGGTTCTGGCACCACGGTTTGACAAATAATGTTTATATAATGCATGGGTCACAGTTGTGTTTCCTCAGTCCTCTCTGCTGAGGTTACTTATGCAATCGGCAGTGCCCCAAAGTCCTATTCACGGGCTCTCGTTAATCCCAACTGTAGCTTTTCTCCTGTGCTCTGCCTCCTTGTTGTACCTGATACAACTTGGTTGACTTGCAGTTTTCTTTTGCAGTTCTTACTCTTTGCTGCCTTTTGTAGTGAGCTCTTTTCATGATGTTTTTATTAATTCTGTTTCCTATGTCCTCTTGCAAAGGAAATGTATTTCCATTTAAATCATTCCCTGAAATTTCAGCATAGTGTTCTAGGTTGGAGTAGGACCTAGTGGCTTGTGTGGGCAAACCTTACTGCAGGTATTTGACCGTAGGAAGCTACACAACTAAAATGATAAATGTGCAGGGTTGCTCAGTGATAGCTGGGAATCAAAAAGCAATCTATCATGCCTATCTCCTGTCCCAACTCCAGTAAAAAGCTTACAGTTGGAGCATGGCTGACAGTTCAGTTGCTGATGCATGAGGCAGACTAAACTGTAGGCAGTCTTCATCAGCTGCACATCTCTAGTTTAGAATATATTAAAGTTAAAATAAGTTCCTCATGAGCTCAACAGATGTGACTTAGAAAAATGATGCCCTACCCCACTACCCCATCAGTGCTTCCTCTTTTTACAGTTGTGCCTGTTCCATAACTGTGCCTTTTTTTTTATTCTCATGAGGACTCCTTCGGCTTCCCATCTGCATGAACAAAGATGTTGCTAAATACTTAAATAGAGGATGCGTAAGTCTAGCAGCTAATAGGCACTCTGGACGTTGCATTGACTTTGATTTGCATTGACTGCAGATTTGCAACGTCTTTGGCAGTAGCAATGGAACTTGGTCAAAATCAAGAAACTTCTGTGTTATGTATGTTTGAAAAAAGCCAAAACAACCCACTGACCCACAGCAGAGTAAATAGGTATTAAGAAGTGCTTAAAGCTTAGTTTAATATACATTCAGCACCTCTTAGGTGCATTTGGTATATTTTAGCTCATAATATTTGCTTTTTAGTACTTACTATATCCTTAAAGAAGACTTTCTGTGCTCTTTTGCCTGTATCATTGCTACATTGATTAATATGCTGCAGGTTTGGATATGCACTGCCGTTTAACAGAGCCTCTTGGAATGAGAATAGCAGAGTTTCCTTTGAATCCTATGTTTGCAAAGATGCTTCTGGAATCAGGTAGGAGGAAAAAAATTGGATTTTATTCTTAGTCTTGTGATGAGGAGAGGACACTGCCACTTGTAATGGTAGTGTAGTACTAGACATTTACTAAATTTGAAACAAACGGTATGCTTCATCTTATTATGGTGTTTAGTGGTAAAAATTGGTTAAACTTGTGGCTCTCTCTAATAAATCTAACACATTTGTCTTTAAAGTTTTCCATTAAAACATTCACTGTCATACTAAAAAAATCCAGCAGTTCAGGTATTTTGGGTTTATGTGTTATAAAATATATTCCTCTTCTTTTCCTTTTTATTCTGTATGTGAATAGTTGAATGGAAGGTGATTTCCTTTACTGAATTTCTCCTCAGGAAATTTTGGCTGCTCCCAGGAGATTTTGACAATTGCTGCCATGATGCAGATTCAGAACATCTTTGTGATCCCTCCAAATCAAAAGTCTCAGGCTGTAAGTTCAGTCGTGTCTCTTTTTTTTTTTTGGTTAGTTCCACGTTTCTGGAATTCTGCCAAGTATTTTATTGAAACCTGTTAAAGATTCAAGTTTATATGAAAATAAAACAAGGTCTTGAACTGTGCCTGTTGGTTATAGGTAAAAGAAGAAGTTGAGTAACAGTGGGAACATTGAAGATCTATGCTAATGTTAAAAGCCTCCTTCTGAAGACTAGAAATATGAAAGTTTATAAGTCAATATTGCTCAGCATATGGGTTTGCTAAAAATACCCAAGCCTCCACAAACACCACTTCCTTTTAAGAGCAAAGCGCTAGGATGTAGCAGGAGCCTCACTTTAACGCATCCTTCTCTTGGGTTTTGGGGGTTCATTTTCAGTTCATTTTTCTGATGTCAGTTTTAGAAGTGCTCCTGAAGATAGGTGGGCTAGTAAAATACTGCTGTAGCCTAGAGGAACTACCCTGTATGGTAAGAACTGCCACAGTCACCAGAAGATATGTACATTAAGGGAACTGATTTTTGCAAAAATCAGTTTGCTTATTAAAAACTATTTCCTCTTCTCTAGGCCAGGCGACACAGAAAGTTTGCTGTGGAAGAGGGTGATCATCTCACTATGCTTAATGTGTATGAAGCCTTTGTCAAAGTAAGTCAGTTCAGGCGTATGTGGACTTGCAGGAATGGGAAGAACTTGAAGTGTTCTGGTTGAATTCACTTCTGATTCTGGAAGTTCTGGATACAGCTTCCTCAAAGCTGAGGACTTACCAAGTTTATTAAGTGATAATTCTGCTTTAAAAGATATTCTGGTCATATTTTGTCACAGACCTTCTGTAATTCCTCTGAACAGGGAATAGAAACAGTTGGGTTTGGATACAGCACAGAAGTCTCATGGGTAGACAACTATTTTTTCAAGGAGACTGGGATTTTTGAAAGGGCTTGGAAAAACAGGTATCCAGATTCCTAATGAAGTTCATACTCTCTTATCTTTTCTTTGGAAATATGAGTTTTACTGATTATAAACTGCATATAAATCTAGCAGTCTTTTGTAAAAAAATTGCCTCATTGATAATCGTGTCCTCTTCTTCATTGACCTTATGGATTTACCCAAAGGTTTGACGCCATCTCAATACTTCTCTGTAAGCTCAGGTTTTACTTAACTGTTGTGAAGTGCTAGACCTGTTTGGAAGAGTATATTTTGCTGGTATAAAGCACTTCTGTATTAATATATTTGCAGTATAACCACACAGGTATTTGACTTCTCTCTCCCCAGGCCCAAAGCAATCAGGCACCAACTGAATTTTTTGCCCTTTAAATTTGATATCTGCATAATTCTCTTAGAAACAGCCAAATGCAGAGAGAGGCTCTTGGAGTAAGTGCTGGCTTCTGGAGAAATAGTTCTTTGCATAGAGAAGACCAGTGAAAACTGTGTACCGAAAAGGTTGTTTACATTTTGAGGTTGAAAACAGACTAGTTTGAGATGGTGCATTTATATGTGAGAAAAGAACAACTGATGCTGTTCTTTCACCACATATGAAGAAACAAAGCACATCTGTTTGAAAATACCTCATAGTATTTGTTCTGCTACTATTTAGAGGTTGTTTGAAATATGTTTTGTAGTTATTTGACCTAGGTATCCTTGTTAGTTTCTATGTAAATAGGTACTTTTCAGGGAAAACAACAATAAATATGTTGTAGGAGTCAGAAGAAAGGCAGAACAAGGCTATGTGATCCAAAGAGATTGGCTTTTGTTTTGCTGATTGTATCTCATTGTAATTTTTTTATTCTTCTTAACTGTACAGCACAGCAAGAGCTCTCAGTGGTGTCAGGAGCACTTTCTGAACTACAAAGGGCTTGTAAGAGCTTCTGTTGTAAGAGAGCAGCTGAAAAAGCTTCTTGTCCGCTTTAAAGTGCCAAAGAAGTCCAGTGAAGGTGAGCATTGTTTTTAAGCTGTTGTCCAGTACATAGTGGTCATAGTCTCTCAAACTGACAGTCTCTTTGTGCTTTTCTTGTAACCTTTGAATTCTTTTCTTCCTGGCCAAAAAATAAGGTTAACTAAAACCAGATTTTTCTCCTAAAAATGAATACAGAAGAGCATTTTAGCCAATTTTTGCAGTTAACATTTAGTCCGGTCTTTATTAGTTACGTTTTCCAGCAAGAGATTATAGCCACAGATTATATATTGAATGGACAGATTTACCAAAAGAGTCATAAATAGATCACCCCGTTCCCTCTTTTGGGTTTCCAATAAGCCATATTTCTAGTATGTTCAAAATGATGTACAGTCACTGGGATCTGATTGCCGGCTGCGTTGCACATGCAGGGAGGCCATGAGCAGTTCTCAGCACTTGTCTTTAACTGCTCTGAAAAATCAGAGGTTGAATTTTAGCTATCATGCAAGGTTGCTCTTAGGACTGTGAAGCTATCTACACGGAGACACGAGTGGCAACAGTAGATTTTTACGTGGTAATCTTGATTTGCTGTGAAATTAAAGTCAAAAGAGATTGCAGGGCTTGTCTTCCTTCCAGCCTTTGTTATTAAAGCATGATGCATTGTAAAAAGTTGTTTGAGATGATTAAGTGGTATGTTAGGTATTTTTGCCATTCCATTGACTCATTTTAGAGGAAAATTTTTCTTTTCAGGTGATCCAGATCCTGTTTTGAGATGCATAGTTTCTGGATTCTTTGCAAACGCAGCTAAATTCCACTCTACTGGAGCTTACAGGTAAATATATATAGTTTCATTACAACTGTTGCTTAGTTGAAAAGCTCCTTAGACTGGATAGGTCTAAGTATAATCAACACACAGATGCTTCTTTAGACAATTGCAATAAGAAACACGTGACAATTGATTTACTAAATATGTGAAGTTTTGTATTTTCAAACTGCTTTAGTGTTTATCTCTTTGGCAAATGTAAATAAAGTTGCTGATAGTGGGAAGCTGTTTCTAAGAGTAATTAGTTTGTGTTAATGTAAGAAAGTACAGCTGTAGTGCAGCAGCGTTGTAAGCACTTCAAGGGCACTCAATAGAAGCCTAAAATGCTGCTTTTTCATTTTAATATAGGTAGAACTCCTAGGACATTTAAGTGTCAATTGTTCCTTTGCGCAGGATTTAAGCTTGGTTTCATCTGTTCATTAAACACAAATGTTTTTAATTTGGTCCAGCTCTTTTGTTGTTGCCTTTTATTAACATTCTTACTGGGGATGAAAGGAACCAGCTGTTAAACAATGAATAGATGTACAGTCTGAAATGCTGTTTTGCTTTCAAGGACTATCCGTGATGACCAGGAACTTCATATCCACCCCACTTCAGTGTTGTATGCAGAGAAACCTCCACGCTGGTAAGTTAAACTGCTTTCACTTGTTTTGTGATCTTGGAAAGACAATTTCAGCATCCAGACATTTTCATGAATGACCTTTCCCCATCAGTGGAGGAATAGATGTAGAAGGTCATGGTTCCCTCGGTGAGAATTCAATTGCTATTTCCTTTTCAACTTTTTGTGTAGGCAGTGTCCAAATAAATCAGGGACATAGAGTGATATTTAGCTGCCAAAAAAACCTGCAGAGGCTGGGAAGCAGAGTCAGGTAACCCTGCTTTAACGGGCACCACATCTTGCACTGCAGACTTCTCTTTGGGTAGTCTCTGTACCTATATAGAACTAGGGTTAATTTACTTTTATTAAGCCTATTAGGGATATGATTTTATGAAATATTCTGTCAAGTAGGTGCTGCAGTAATTGCAAATGGCTGATGCAAAAAGTTCTTTCTGTTTAGCAGGTTGAGGAAAGAAATGTTTGTACTTTTGTGTTAGGATCTTACAGTTTCATTTTGTATGTCAGAGATGCTCAGATGACGAATAGACACATTCCTAACAATCAGGCGGCACTATCAATCTGAAGTGTTTGGACTCTTGTCCTTCTTTGGCTCTTGCTGAGACTTCGAAGAATAAACTTGGCCAATGTCATCTGTTATCTTTGAATTGGACTCCTTCACCTGGTGTGTTGGATTTACAGAAGTATAACTGATTGGAACTTGGCCACAAATTACATTGGCTCACAAAGCAGAAATGAGTCTAGCTCATTGTACCGATTCTTCAGAGCTGAGTTAAGCAGCATGGAGTTCTGTAGGTCTTGTGATATTGCCACAACCAACTGAAAAACACTACTGGCTACAGGGGTCCTGTAACACGGGAGTTTAACTTGCTCAGGAACTGTGATTTCCATGCTACTGCTGCCTGGGCAACCATCCTCTACTGAAGGCTTCAATTGTCTCTCTGTTACAGGTGTATATTGAGTGTGTTCCTGTTCTTGTTTTTTTTTCCTCAGGTTTCTCTTTAGTTGTATTAGTTTGTGTGTCTTGGCTGCATTTGGCAGAGAAGAGAATTTTGGACTTGTTCTTCTTTGCTTTTGGGAGCAAAACACCAATTAATGACAGGCCACAAACCTTGTGGGCTTGCAGCTCTACTATGTGTAGAGGGCAGATAACATGGCTTTGCACTTCCTTGGTAAAAATTTCTTTTCCTGCTGAAGGGTGACTTCAGAAATAGGTTGTCCATGCTGGCAAGCTGTTCATGCTGGCAGCAGTGATTGAGTCCACAGGGGTTTCTGTTTCTAAACCTCTTACAGGAAATGTTCTGCTAGTAGTTAAAGGTGTTTTCTACCTCTAATCCTTATCGTGACTGTCTGCAGACAGGCACCAGAGGTAGTCATGCTGTGGTTTGTGCCCTACTTGTTATGGGTCCAGGGTTTTGGTGCTTTTGAATCCTTATTCACGGTATTACAGAGTAACTAATATTCTCTCTTCCAAAGTATCTGTTAAGAGTCCCCCTTTGCTCCAGTGTAAGAAATATTCTTTCTTCTATACCTTGCACCCAGATGTCCTAATAGTAAGTGAAGGTGTTTTTAATGGTAAAGGTTGTATTAATGTAAAGTACTCTGAAAACCAGAGGGAAGGAGGTAAGAGTTTGTATTATAACATAAAGACTTTCTGGTCATTCTGTAAGTACTGTATCTGTCAGTATATATGTGAAACTGCATACTAGATATAAGTATAAATACCGAGTCTAAATATAGAATCACAGACAGGTTTGGGTTGGAAGAGACCTTAAAGCTCACCCAGTTCCAGCCCCTGCCACAGGCAGGGACACCTTCCACTAGAGCAGCTTGCTCCAAGCCCCTGTGTCCAGCCTGGCCTTGAACACTGCCAGGGATGGGGCAGCCACAGCTTCTCTGGGCACCCTGTGCCAGCGCCTCAGCACCCTCACAGGGAAGAGCTTCTGCCTAAGAGCTCATCTTAGTCTCCCCTCTGGCAGGTCAAAGCCATTCCCCTTGGCCTGTCCCTACAGGTACTTGTCTGAAGTCCTTCTCCAGGTCTCTTGTAGCCCTTTGAGGCACTGGAGCTGCTCTAAGGTCTCCCCTTCAGGAGCCTTCTCTTCTCCAGGCTGAGCCATCCCAGCTCTCTCAGTCTGGCTCTAGAGCAGAGCTGCTTCAGCCCTTGCAGCATCTCCATGACCTCCTCTGGACTTGATCTGGCAACTCCACGTCCCTCTTGTGCTGTTGTCACCAACATAATGCTGTTCTCATCATTCTCCCTCATTGCTATAAAGCAAACACTTTTTCTTTCCTTCTCCTAGGGTAGTTTACAATGAGGTCATACAGACTGCGAAATATTACATGAGAGATGTGACTGCTGTTGAATCTGCGTGGCTCTTGGAACTGGCACCTCATTTTTACCAGCAAGTAGCAGTACAGGATCAGCATAAAACCCAAACGGTACCATTGCTGTATTAGCAACTCTTGCATCTGAACTTCTAATGTGTTTGTGTTTTGTTGTTGTCTATTTAATGCTGCAAAAATAATTTAGTTTTGTTCGTTTTAGTGGTTATAATATAAAAAAGAATATACTGAATTTTTTCCTTATAATCTGGCCAACAGACATGATCTCAAATTTACAAAATAGAGTATCACTAGTAAATGAAGCCTTCAACCATTTTACACTTGAATATAGGCACTTGGTAGCACTTTTCTGAGGAGCACTATGGGTAGGCAATGGTTATAGGTTGCGTAATAATATAGGAGAGTCTTTATATGCTTTGTGAATTTGAGCAGATTTAGAGCCTTTTTTTGAGCATTAATCATATTTGCTAAAAAAAAATTACAAAAATGTGCTCTTTTCAAACTTGAAATCACAAAGGAAAGCTGCTATTTGTGCAAGGCTTTATTACAAATTCTGTTGCATGTGCATACCTTTTAGAATCCTTGACTGGTTTGAGTTGGAAGGCACCGTAAAGCTCATCCAGCTCCAACCCCTGCCACAGGCAGGGACCCCTTCCACTGGAGCAGCTTGCTCCAAGCCCCTGTGTCCAACCTGGCCTTGAGCACTGCCAGGGATGGGGCAGCCACAGCTTCTCTGGGCACCCTGTGCCAGCACCTCAGCACCCTCACAGGGAAGAGCTTCTGCCTAAGAGCTCAGCTCAGTCTCCCCTCTGGCAGGTTCAAGGCATTCCCCCTTGTCCTGTTGCATTCTGCAAGTGTGGTGTAAAAAGGAGATGAGCTCATGTTCCAGTTATATCAGATCTGTTCCCTTTTGACTCATGTATTTACATGTTGTAACATCCCATACACAACATAATGTCCCCTTATGATACGACCTCTTCATGGGCTAAGTTTGGGGTGACTTCCTTCATGCTTTCATTCCACACTTCTGTAGGCCTTTAAGAGCCTGGAGGTTCAAGGGTCCAGTGCAACTACAGCTGCAGTATTAATAAATTAGTTAAAGTCTAGTACTTCATGCACCTACTTCTAGCGTTTGTGCAGCTGTGTTGTTGGGAGCACACATACGTTTATCTGCATTTTTACAGAGATACTAGAAGATTGTATTTTATACCAAGCCAGAATCACACTGTAGGTTTTGAATTTCATAGGTTTATTTTAGCTCTATCAGTAACAAGCAGAGCTTGGCAGGGGTTGTCTTTCATATTTGTATAAGAATTTCTTTAATTTGAAATGACTGAACACATTCTAGTTGAACTTTAGTCCAATTGTCCTGTATATGCTGATCAGTTTTTCTTTTCTTTTCTTGCAGCATCTTTCCTTGACAGCAAAACGGGCTAAAGTAGGAGACCAATGATTTGACATGACTTAAGTCTTCTGTCATCAGATGCAGGGCCTACCAGTGATTTGAAGCTGTCTACAGTCCCTTCAGGAGTCAGTTCATTAGCAATTTGATCTTCCATCAACTTAAATGTTTAAATGCCTGCCAGGATCTGTAGGGGTTTATGCATGACCAGTACATTTTAAACCCATGTAGAGCTTGCGTTGTGGACATTTTATTCTTTGCCTACTTGACCACCATTGTTAATCTGGGCATGTTGCTCTTCCTAAATAGGTAGAAAAATAATTTAAGAAGTAAGAGGACATACAAGACCACAAAAACCTGAAACCTTCAAGAAGGAAACTGATTTCCTAGAGTGGTATGGCTGCCTGATGAGATGTAGAACAGGGTACCCTGCCTCCTATTACCTACAGCACTGTGACTAATACCGGCCAAACTGAGCCTGGCTCCTGACAGCAGGAGCTCAGGGCAATGAACTAGCCCTTGAAATACAAGGTGCTGCCAGCAAAACATTGATTCCGCGTTGGACCATCCCAAACTGGCGCAGCAGAAGTCTCCTGCCTGTGGTTGAGCTGCCCCTGGCTCCCTGTGCTGTGACAGTCCTTCTGTAGGACAGTGTCTTGTTTCCATACACAAGAATTCAGCCTGGGGAGAGGGAGAAGGAGCAGCTCAGTATTTCTTTTGGAAACATAAAGTTTTTGCTCAGTCAGGGGATACTGCTTTGCTTTTTTTTTTTTAATTATTTTTTCCTAACAAGTGAAAAGATGGAGCTTCACTGCTTGGAAAACCCAGAAGATTTGAGCAGGGGTTTATCATGCAACACTGTTTTTTTAGCAAAGAGGAAAATGCTCTGTCCTTTCCTATAAAGAACACAATCCTATATGTTTCTTTTATTAAGGATCTGTTCTTTGTTGCTTGGGACTCTCCTTCATGTGTTATTGAAGAGAAAGATGTTCTGAACAGTTGCTGCTTTAATCAGACTCCATGGCTGCTTTTCAGCACATTTTGGATACATATATTTATTTTAGAAACACATTGTTTGAAAATGTCCTTTTTGTGAGGCAGCTGATGTGATGGGTGTGTTTGGGCATCTCAACTAGAATTTTATTTTCTTTTTAAAAAAAAGGATGTAAATAGGCAAAAATTTCTACATAGAATAGATGCCTTCCTTATCATAGGGCTGCCTTGAAAACTTTCTTGAGAGCTTCTTTACCCTCTCCCTTCCAACCACCTGCAGAGGGAAGATGTTGTGTCATGCAGCGTGTGTCTGCTCAGTGTCTCTGTACTGACTGCCAGCACAAAAAGTTGTATCAGTCTCCATGTATAGCACCAGCAGCATGACAAACCACATCACCTTGTTTCCCTGTGAACCTCATCTTTGGATTTCTCTCTCTTAGAGTGGAAGCTCTTTGGGGCAGGGACTGTCTCCTAGCCAGAGCCCAGAACAGTGTTGGCACTTACTAAAGAGATTCAATTTGCAGGTGTTTTTTTTTTCTCTTAAAGGATTAGGGAAAGAGCTGAAGATGAAGACATGTAAAACGTGCGTGTCTCTGTCCTCTGGAAGTATTGTGATGAAAAATAAAACCGTTGAATCAAGGAAGCTTGAGAGTGCATCACTTCTGCCTCAGTAGCAGGCGCTTCCTCAGCATACAGGACAGTTGTAGTGAGCTGGTCTGGCCTGGGCTGGGATGGCAGTGGGTGACCACATCGCTGCTGGTTCTGGGCATTTCTGGTGGTTCTGGAAAACTGTCTTCTCTGGGTGCTCTCTTACCTGGCTGTGCAGCTGCCAGATCTTCTCTTGGAATGATTGTGACTCCTGCTGAGTTCAGATCCAGGGAGGTACAGCTTCAGACATGCTGCAAGCAATTGTGCTTTTAGAACAAGTGCAATAGGTCCTTGTAAACAAGACCAGAAACTGATCCTTGGGTCTTTAGCAGTTTTACAAACTGCTGAGGCTTTGCCAGAGGTGCAGACACAGAACAGGCAGACTGCCCTGGGTTTAGCAGCAGCAGTCATTTTTTTTCTCCTTCTTGGTAGCTGGTGCAGGGCTGTGTTTTGGCTTTCGGGCTGGGAACAAAGCTGATGAAAATGATGTTTTGGTTTGGCCAGGGTCTTTGTGAGCCTCATGCTCTGCCAGGGAGGAGGGGGAGCCGGGAGGAGGCGGAGACAGGACACCTGACCCAGACTGACCAAGGAGGTATTCCATACCACAGCACGGCATGCACAGGGGGAACTGGGTGTGGCCGGAAGGACGGGGGGTCGGCCGGGTCGGACTCGTGGTTCGGAGCCTGGTATTGTACTCCTTTCTCTTATCATTGTTGTCGTTGGTGGTGATTTGTATTGTACATTAGTTGCTAGACTGTTCTCATCTCAGCCCCTGGGAGTTGCATTCCTTCGATTCTCCTCCCCATCCCTCTGGGAGCGGGGAAGGGGGGGCAGCCCCTGGGGAAGGGGGTGGGGGGGGGACTAACGTAGGCCTCGATTACTTCCAGCCTGGCACCACTCACTGGGAGTAAGGGCACAAGTTGTGTGGCTGGGGTTAAACCACGACACAGACTTTATACCAGTGAGGCAGACTAAAGAGAGTACCGTGGGGAGAAGGCACTCTTTGCATCAGAAATGTGGACTCTTTGAAGGTGTTTGAAGACAGAGACCCAAAACATAGAAGACCTGAAAATCTCTTTACTTTGTAAAATGCTGGCCTACATCTCTCAGCTGGATTTATACATAACCTTAGGCTTTAAATAACTTTGATTGAGGAGATGAGTAACTGTACCTTGTTCTTGGCTCTTTGCTGCATAAAGAGTCTGTGCTGTTGTGGGGGAGGCCAGAGTCATTTGAAGATGGTTGTCAGGAGTTTATGAAACAGATTATGGATTTTAAACTTGGGTTTTAGAGATTGAGGTTGATTCAAAAGCCTTATGTTGGCATGAAATAGAAGTCATGCCACCACTGGCAAAGAGATACATTGTTTTGAAGAGTAAATTTACAATCCATTAATGTCAAATTACCATGGAGGAAAAAAAGGAAGCTATATTCCACAAATCCATCAGGAGGTGTTCTCAGTGCTCCTTGTCATTACCTTAGTATTGTCTGTTATAAGATGTAGCTAAATCGGAATAAAATTTGGCTGAGACGATATTAATTGAACTGTATTTTGCATCTTGTAGATTAAAAATAATTCTGATATACTGATGGAAAAACAGACACAAATCTCCCTGCATCCTCTGGAGGCAGAGACGATTAAAGACTAATATGAAAAAAGGGAAATAAATAAGGGAGAGGTGCTGTTTCTTCTTGGTGCATGATGGTAAAAGTGCCTGTATAATGCAGTGCCAGGTTGGACTGGGCTTGGAGCAAGCTGCTCTAGTGGAAGGTGTCCCTGCCTGTGGCAGAGGGTTGGAACGGGGTGAGCTTTAATGTTCCTTCCAACCCTGAGGTCCCTTGCCCAACCCAAACCAGGCTGTGACTCCATGATATGTAATTGAGTGATCACCCAGCAATGTTCTCTAAAGGTACATCAAGGTAATGTGATGTAATTTATTTTTAAGCTGAGTTCATTTTATATATGTGTTGTGAGAAGCACAGATAGGCATTGGGAAAAGAGGTAATCATGTATCTTTTACCAATCCCCCCTAGTTTATCAGAACCAGGTACCTGTGTAACTCATTCGAGATCTGGTGGTTCAGATTCCTTCTGGCTCGTGGTCCAGGGCAAAGAGTTATTAGTTTCCTGAGCCAGCAAGTGTTAAAACGGGACAGAGGTGCTGAGGTGGGAGCGCTGGAGCAGCGTTTGTGCATGGGGAACGTGAGGCCCTAGAAATGTTCTTTAAAACCAGCTGTTTTCTTCACTAACTTTTTCTGACTGTGAGGGGGGGATGGGCTGCGCTGGTCCTGCTGGGAGCCTTGGTGGTAGGAAAGGAGGGAAGGGAAGAGCAGAGCAGCAGAGCGGTGTCTGCAGGGAAGGGAAGGGGGAGGATTTCTTCACCATGGGTTCACCTTGTGGCTCACACAGGGCATTGCCTGATGACTGCTCTGGATGCTGCTGAGCAGGTAGTTACTGAGCTGCTGGCTTGGTCAGTGAGAAACTGAGCTTCCAGAACCTGATTTGGGAATGAATTAGCAGAGCCAGTACTGTTGTGCTTGTGCCCGTTGTGTGACTGTGCTAATAGAACCCCCAACCACCAGGAAGTCTGTCCTTGTATCCAGTTTCTGGGTGTTCTCAGACTTGCAGAGCTTTTGTTCCTGGGAGATTGGACGGGGTTTTCCTGCTGTCAGTTTAAACTCCGCCGTTCTCTGGAAGCTTTCTCAGAGATGAGCATTTTGGGCTCAAGCTCGACTGCACTTTGAGCAAGGTGCCGGTAGGTGGCAGGCGGCGGTTTCGAGTGGTTCTATTTTGGAGACCAAATACATGACCGGTTCAGCTTAAAGGTTTTCCTCCTCCTTCAGTTCTAACATTTGGCTGGTTTATGGTAAGTGGGATGAGAAAGGGTAAAGGAAAAAGCTATCGTTAGGGTGGGATAAAGTATAATTTGGAGTGTGGTGATCAGTGGAAAAGCTGTGTGCCCCTTTGGTTTCCCTGCAGCGCAGAGGCATGAGTTCCCTGCTTTGCTTGGGCAGCCTCTGCCTGCAAGGGTCCTGTAAGGTCAGTGGGTCTCAGACCTGACCAGGAGGCTCCTGTACACCCAATCCTGTGCTGCTTTGCTGGGCAAAATCAAAACTTCCAGGAGAAAGAGCAGGACATAGATCAAAAACCTGTAATGGCTTCTTGGCTCCCTTCAGGCCAAGAAATAGGTTGTTCATTGCAGGTGACTGTTGGCACAAAGATAATCCTTTTGGACAGGGCATGTTTTGATGCCATGAAGCATCTTCCATGGAACTTGTGCTGTTTCTCTTTTCAGGATCTGGTGAGATAATCAGGGTTTCACAGAACCACAGACTGCTTTGGGTTGGGGAAGGGGCCTTAACACTCATCCAGTTCTAACACCCTGCCACAGGCAAGGGCACCTTGCACTAGAGCAGGTTGCTCAAATAGATTGTTTATGAGCTGTGCAACAGCCAGGCTGAAGCGAGAGCAGGGAAGGAACCTTTTCAGATGAGCTAGGTCCTGAAAGAGCCAGGCTCCTGTTCAGTCCTGCTGCTAAGAGCAGGATGTTTGTAAGGCAGAGGTGATCCTCTCCTCTTCCTATTCTTCCCCTTGCC